CCCCCCCCCCCCCTAGGTTTGGATTTCCAACTAGCTTTTTCAACTCGGTCGCGACCTGAAAATTTCTGAAAATTTCAACTGCGTAAAGGGTTTTCATTTTTTTTGGCCCGAGTTGAAATTTTCTTTCTCAAAAAAATCGATTTTCCAAATCGTAAGAAGCTCTGTTCGGCTGGAAATTGAAAATTTCAATTTTTCAACTGGAATTTTTCAAACCGTAAGAAACGGCCTCAGTAGCTGGATGAAGTACAAGACTTGATTCCAATCAACTACTGCCTCAGAATCTTGATCAACTCGCTGATTCCAATCAACTTCTGCCTCAGACTTGTGATCAGCTTGTTGATTCCAATCAAGTACTGGGTCAAAAAGTGTCCAATCCACTACCGTGTGTAGTCCGAACATGCACAGCCTTATTTCATTCGTACGAGACTACATGGCCAGGAAACCGTCCGTGGTCACAGGCTACCCTAGCTGCCCAAGAGAGGCGCGGGATGCAGGATAACGAAGCCGTTTGTGGCAAACGTGGTGTATCGTACCAACCTCCTTGAACTTCTGCCGCAACGCTGGCCACTGCTGTACTCAAGAGCCAAATCCACATTTCGGCTTTTCTAGGACGAATGTCGTTGTTGTTGTAGATTCTCGGAGAGACTCGGGCGATAGATATCCTTAGCTCTCAGGCCACTCTGTTGTTGACGGTAGTGCACCTCGTATCGGGTTACCTACCATCCAATCGCTGCTGTGCCGACGCCCCCACCCACCCCCCCGCTGCTACCACGACGCCGCATATACGTGACCTCTCGATCAGCGTCCTCTCAGCACTAGCCTCGCTGCACGCTCAAGGGCTGTTCCACGGACACGTTACCCCGGGGAGGATCTTCTTCTCGTCCCCTAGCCACAACGAGCTAGGGGCTGCGACGGCAAAGCTGTGCTACTTGGAGAAGGCGCACGGGGCCGGTGATGCGTGGCAAGCGGGCGGGAGTCCTGTGGGCACGGTGGACAAGGATCTCAGGTGAAGGATATCGGCATGTGTGTGTGTTTCTTTTGTTGCTTGCTAAGGGTTAGGGTTGCGGACAGCGACAACCGGCTGACCAATGAAAAGACTTCAGTCTTAGAGTCTTGAAACTTGACACAGCAGGGGAAAGAACGCGAACACGCTGACATGATCCGTCTTGGTGTAAGTTGATCAGCACCATTTCAGCTTTGTTCTTGGCGGCCTCCAGTAGTTAAGCGAGCGTCTGACAGGTACATAGTTGAGCCTCAAATACACTGGGAGTACTAAGAGTCTGGGTAAAGGCCGCGACGGCCAAGAGAAAGTTGACCAGAAAACGGGTTTGCCGGAAGAAGCTTGCTGATAGATGGGATGGGCGTACTGATGACTGGACTCATGCATATGTCATACCGTCATACCTTCCTTTACCTCAATCTCGTCGTATTGGACGATCGTTTCTACATGTCTACATGCATACTGTGTTTTGTTTCTGTAAGGGATGCGGACATCGTGTCCCTGGGCCTGACCGTGTTCGCCGCTCTCATGGGTGATTCCGGGGCGGCGGCGGGCGAGCCTTTGGAGAGCTATCGGGCGACTACGGAGAGCACGGGGGTGCCCGAGCTGTCTCCCCTTGGCAGGCAAGTAGATTCCGATACCGCCTGTGGTTGTGCGTCGCTGAACAGCCACACTGCTCTCATCGGTACGGTCGGTATCGGGGCAGGGAATCAGGGTTGATCATTGTGGGTCGCGCCCCCTTCTCCCGCAGCAGCCCAGGTCTATGTATCCTGTGTAAGGAGGGGTAGACCAAGGACCAAGGTGAGAACGAACCTCGTGCCGTGAAACGGTTCGTGCCGTGTCGCCTGCAACGGGGAAGCCAAGCTTTTGAAACAGGCATGCGTATCTCATCGTGGTGGCGACCGAGAAGCTGTCCTTGTTCCTTGCCCCGCCCCCCGCCCCCCGCCCACGGCGCCCACGGGTGCATTCCGGACAGCGCGCTGGCGGACGCGCTGTGCTGTACGAAAAACAAGCGACTGTTTTCCTTGTGCACAAAAAGGCGCTTGGTTAGACTCTGCGCCAGTGTTAGTCCAAGAGAGAGCTTACACACACGTATTACGCTTTTTTCCCACCAGGGAAGCTATCGACCTGATGCTGGGCACAGACCCCGGGGTCGCGATCCCTTCCGCCGTGGAACTCCTCCAGCACCCCTGGTTCCCCTCCGACGGAGCGCATGAGGAGGAACCCATGCCCTTGCCTCTCGCGCCCGGGCAAACGGTGGCCGTAGGCCCCCCCGCGAAGCCGGAGGACATACCCGCGGGCCTCCCGCCTACGGTGCCCAAGCTGGGGGGCACAGGCAATGGGCTGGGTGATTCCTCCGGGAGCTTGCAGAAGGTGGGGCTGGGGGGGTCGCTATCGCGTGCGAGCAGCGGGACGGACGAGTCTTCGCTGTATATCGACCTGCCAGACGGGAGCAAGGCCTTGGCGGCTTGGCTGGCCAAGAAGACGAGCGGGAGGAAGGCGCTGGCGATGAAGAGTTCCTGGTGAGTGAGGAGCGATGTAGGCGCTAGCCGAAGCATGTCGGGTCGTCTGCAAGCGGATGTCGCCGCAAGACGGGACGCTATGAGAATAGATGCCTGATGTTGTTGCTATGAATTCGCCGTTGCTTCTTCTAGTTGTCCCGATCTCGCCTAGGAACGGTGACAGCACTCCGGCGGCAGACGCTGATTTCGTTGCGTGGTGAAATGTCGATCCTTCCATCGACCAGCCGTGGGTAGTGGGCCGTATTCGTGACTGCCTTGGTGTTGTCCCTCGACCAAGTTTATGGAGCCAACTTTTGTGGTGGCGCTGCGGGCCGCAACCTGGTACATGTATCGATGCGAGGGGGGCTGTCTCTCTGTGTCGAGTCGATACCACGGCCGCCATTTATAAATAGGCTTGACGTGGTGCACCACACGCTTGCTTCAAACGGTGACCGTTGCCTCTACTCTCTCATGTACAGTAGCTGCTCAACGTACTATGCATATTGTACATGATGAATTTCCGCTGTCGCACGCACCACCCGTTTCTCGGCACAGGCAACGGCGATGGTTCGTTCTCAACCCGTCGACTTCGATGCTGCTCATCTACACGCGCGAAGTAGACCTGACGGCATCCGAGCCTGAGGCAAGCAGGCGCTCCTCCGGCGGCATCCCCAAGGCCTTCCCCCTCGACAGTGCACACGTGAGTCCTGCCTTGTTGTCCCCGATGTTCCGGCGGGCCATTTCACGTGTCATGTCATGCATTGACCAGTCTGGCGTACAGTAGCGGCTACGGTTTAAGAGAGGATGGTGACTGTCCCCTAATTTTCTCTTGAATCGTGCTTGATATAATACCGTGTCAGCTACGGTTTAAGAGAATATTCTCCTGAACCGTGCACGTGTTTTAGGAGAATATTCTCTCAAGCCGTAGCATTCTAAAGGCCATGGAATATGGACGCTCCCGTTTCAACCAGCTCAAGGATTTTTTTTAGGGCGTATAACTCGCCATGTTACATCGCGCCAGTTACTATAGCATCTTGGGCTAGCTCCACGCGCTGCCAAAAAATCATGTTTCTTGGTCCTCGCGTGGTGAGCAGTGTACCCACCGCAAGCACTGGGTACACTCGTGATACCTGTGTCGGAGATGTATGATGAATGATGTCGTGTCATGATACATTTCGTTGAACGTTCGTTCTTGCGCTCTACGAACGGTAGTTTGTGAAATTTGGTGGACCTAGGGTGTGATCGGGGACCGCTGTGCAGCGTCTGCTTGCTGCGCAGGGCGTGTCGTCTGCAAGTCGTGTGTGTGACAGCCACGTGGCTCTTTCTAGAGGTTCGGTTTAAGAGAAAATCTCAGAAATATGGCCATATTTCTCTTAGATCGATTTCGGTCGTGACAAGCCAGCTCGACTCTCTGAAATCGGTACTTTCTCCAAACATTTTCTCTTAAACCGTAGCCGCTACTGTACTTGAATGACAGTGTGAGTTGTATCGTCATTCACTGGCAAGTGCCTTATCCCGCGGGTGCATAGTAGCTCAGGCATGAGGGGATGTTTGGTGCTTGGGGGCTGCTGGACGTACAGCACTTGTCTTGGTGTGAAAAGAGGCGACGGTCACGGTCCGGTGTCGGCGAAGTGGCGTCATGGTGGGATGGGCGGCCGCACCTTTCCGCCAGAGCGTGTTGTTTGTACAGCAGTTTTTTCGTGCTCATCTGTGTTCCCCCCGACACAACACGACACGACACGACACAATTCAACACGACACGGCACGGCAGGTCGCGCCCTTGATACGGCCAGGAGTTAAGGATAACTTGTCGTCTCACGCCTTTTGCTTGGTGCTGGAGGATAAGGCGGAGCGCTTTCCTTCCATGCTCCTGTCCTTCAAGTCCGAAAAGGTGGGGGGCATGCGCTACATGAAACGTCGTGTTCTCGCACTCCCCGGCTGATGATTGATGCTAAGATACATGTGCGTAAAATAGTTGTAAACCGTTCTGCCAGTGTTTGTACCAGGGAAACGATACGATCGTTTGCGAGGGGCAGTTGCTTACCTGGGGGATCTGTCTGGCATGTGGTTGCTGTTGTTGAGGGAATCAATATCAATAGTGGTCTTGCTGCCAACCCACGGCGTCACTCCTTACAACCGTCTGCTGACCGACGACGAATACCCCGCCTCGACCAACATGGCATGTCTCTCGTGGGCTGCCTGCTTCTCCCCTCCGTCCTTCGCTACCCCCGCCACGCCATCCTTCTGACGACCATCGAATGGGTGTGCGGATGGATGCCTCCCGCAATTTTCATGCAACAATAGCTCATGCACGTGTGGCTCGTCGCCTTCCAGTCGGTAGCGGAGGTTAGAGCTGCAGGGACACGCGGCACCGGGGAACACTCGAGCCGTGGGGACGGTATGGAGAGGGGAAGTGCGGACGCGGGCGGAGAAGGGTTGGGCTGGTGGGATGACGTCAGTCACCAGGCGCAGAGGGTGGCTCATGTAACGGCGGCTTCTGCATTCGCGTGTGGGGGGGGCGAGGTGAGATACGGCATGAGGGCGGGGGTATGTATACTCGAGTACTCACAGCCGTGCATGCCGTCGTTAGACTTGTGACCTCTCATCCCTACAAAGCCGGGACGGAGCGATGTAGCCGGATATTCGCCAGCCCAGGCTCAAGGCTCAAAGGGGCAGGTTGGGGACGGGACTGGTGCATGGTCTTTGTCGGCCATACCGAGCACTCAAGACGTATCCCATCCCATCACGAGACGAGGCACGCTTGTTTCCTTGCAGGGGCAGAGCGGGATATTTATTTTCCCGCTGCTACGTTGGGGACCTCGAGAGAGTCTTGCCGGTACGGTAGACCAAGGCGATCGAGTAGTGCTACGGGTACCGCTGCAAGGTTTCGGGGCTGTGGCCTTCCAAGATTTACAAGATTGGAAGATAACTTTGCACTTGGGACACGCCGTTCGGTCCCATGGCCGGGGAACGTTTTCGGGTAAAGCAAGGTAAAACAAGGCAAAGGGATCAAACATGCTAAAATAGGAGCAGTGGGCCTACCTACTCTAGAGTGCTGACAAATGGCGATTGCTGCCCGTCGGTGTCCTCTGCGTTCTCTCGGTGCAGTCTGGTACGTTGGAGCCGTTGCCTTTGCCTTTGCCACATGCTAACCATATCCCTAACGCTCTTTGCCTTTGCCTCGTGCTAACGTTCACCTGCTGCTGTTGCTGCCTTGGCGTATCGATGTGCCGACTGCCGCTGTGCCAGGCGGAGCTGTCCCGATTTGTGGAGGAGAAGCTGACGATGCACAAGCGATCGGCTAGAAGCCTGTACTTGAACGGGTCGATTAAGAGCGGTGGGACGAGCTTATTCGGAGGTGGAGGTTCTATGGTGTTGCCTACTGCCAATAACGCTGGCACCATCTTCAAGGTACATGTTTGTTCCTCTGTTCCTGCTTGATCAGCGAACCCCCCACAAGGAAGTACAACAAAATGAATTGAAACACCCACCCTAAAAATGTCCTGTGGCCCGCACTTCGTGCTAAGTCTTTTTATCTATTAACTAATTGTTGTTTTTAGTTTGTGGGAAGCGGTATACAAGTAGAAGTAGGTAAAAGTGCCCATTAAGGCGAAAACACTAACTACACAAGTGAGTCCAAGGACATGTTTTTTTTTGTCACTTATTTTTCCTGTTGCTGTGCGTCTTTAATGTGCCACATTCCTTTTTGGTGTTGCATCAAAGTACGATCGCGTGCTAGCTATTTGATTCATGCATGCTATTTGGAGGCATGTATAGATAGTTTTGAAATGTTGGCATTCCCGTCACGCTGGTTTTTTAGTCAAGTCTACAGGGCTTAGATTACCGTAGCTTATCGATTGGCGAGGTCAAGGCCAACACCCTCTTGCTTGTTTTGTGCTGCCTTGTATTTTTGCAGAACTCGGCTCTCCAATGGGAACACCGCGTGCAGGAGCTAGCGGCTGTGACAGCGGGCAAGCCGATCACCTCACCCATGCAGCCGGGAGAGCGATGGTTCATCGTCGACGCTCGTTGGATGGACCACTGGCTTGAATTTTGCACTTCGAAGAGGAGGATGTCTCCACCCGGACCAATCGACAACTCCTGGATGCTGCACTCGGAGAAACGGTGTGTGTGTTTGTGGTTAGCAACGACCGCGTCAAGGGGCAGACCACTGAAACGACGTCAGTGTCAGCGGGTAAAATAAAGTTCATGTGTGCGTTATTCAGTGCACGTGTCTCTGGCTCGACCGATTGCACCGCCTGTGTTTGAAGACATAATGTGGATGCAGCTGTTTCGCCGCGACTTCACCCCCCATAGAGTCGAAAGTCGGACAATATACGACGGGACCATTGGTGCAATAGAGAGGGTGTCAGTGCCAGCGACTGGGAGTTGGATCCTCTTTGGAAGTGCTGCTGAAAGGCGGACACTTGCCGTAGCCAGGTGGCTGCTGGCATGTTGTTCCCGCGGCTTGTTCTAGAGGTCGACAGTGACAGTATGAAGCGATTGGTGCCCTTGGCGCATGACTGCTGCTGTCGTTAAGATGAGTTGTACTTGTCGGGCGGACGTTTGTGACGTCCTGGGGCACTACCATGAAAGTGTTCGTGTTTGTTGTCGCCTTTCTGTATTAGCGACAGGTGTTGCTGTGGGAGACATGAATTTCGATGTCAACGTTCCCGTCGTGTATCGGTGTCGATACCACTCAACAATTCTGTTGTATCATGATCCTTGCTGTCTGACGAGATATTCCCTCGCGGGACATTGGGTTTTATTAGTCTGTCGCATTTTTGTTGCGGTTGTCGTTTCTCTTGGCGGAAAGGCACATCCCGTACGAGGGTCTGACTCTGGCGATGGGCAAGCAGGCGGGCGACTACCGACGGGTGGGGGCGGAGTGCTGGGACCAGCTCATGCGCCTGTATGGCGGGGGCCCGGCGATATATGTCGACGGCCCGCCGGTCGAGGATCTGTCGAGGTTCGTATGTGATATTTACCCTCGATTCACGGTGTGCTTTACTCTTCGGGAGGACATTTTGTACCCTCACACTCTCGTTCTGCTCTGTTTTTGTTGTGGGGGCTCCGTGGATGTTTTGTTGGTACGACCGTCGCCGTGGCCCGTAGCCACCGACTGGATTTATTTGATGGTGGCTTTGTATCGATGCGGCGAAATTGTTGTGGCTAGTTTGCTGCCGCCGAATGTCTTCTTTGTTCCGGGCATGTTTTGGCTATTGTAGAGGGCAGCGCATTTTGAGGCGTGTATTGCCGCATGCCCTACCTGTGTATTATGCGTCCTGACTGCCATGACCTACGCCATGAGCCCGCGGTAGGTCAACCTTCGTCGATGATTGTACCAGGACTCGTGTCTCACGTCGACGCTCCTCCCTCCCTCGGCAACGTTCTACAACCCTAACCCTAACCCGAACACGAACACGATCACCATCACGAACCCACGCCGATCGCGGCACTGCTGTACTTGCTGTACTGCTGCAGATGGGTGGTGCGATTCGGACACCAGGTTTCCGCGAAGAGCACCTACCGGACCAAAAGGCATATCCCCAACCCCAACGTCTCGGTCAAGAGCTTGGAGGCAGCGGCAACGAAGTGGGTCATGGGCTGGGACAACGAGGAAGACGATGAGTGCGATGACGACTACGAGAGCGCCAGAGGCTCGCACGACGATTCGACCCTGCTGACGCCGACTTCAGACGGGCAGCTTCTCACTAGGCGAGCGGGCTCGGAGCGTGGGGCACCCCTCAGCGTGCTGAGGGAGGAGGATGGGCAGGGGTCCGTGTCGCCCGCCGGGAGCTTGCACAGTATTGATGAGGCCGACATGTACGGGTAGTGGGGCGAGCGCTTTGTGACAAGGTTCGGAATGCCGACGCGCTGCGTTGTTAGCACCACGCGTAGTGTGATACATGTGCGTGTTCATGATGGCGAAGCCTGGGGCTGGCGGAACCTGTGATTTTGGGCTCTTTGTTGCAACTTGGGAGGTTGATTTTCCTCTGCAACCGTACACCCTGAAACTGTCTAGAAAGAAGGAAGGGTGCTCGGTGCCTGCGGCATGATGGGTCCGACACACACTTGTCTCAAGTGAAATGCGTCGGGTTTCGACCGTCGGTTTGCAGTTTTATTTTCTTCTGTTTGAAACGGATGGGCCGGGCCGATGTATGTTATCTTTGCCGAAGGGTCTCGAGAGAGGCGATAAAGGCCTTATTTTGAGCCCTGCAGTGAAGCCGTTCAGGTCGCGCTGCTTCTGTCAAGTCCGCACGTTCTTCGTTGTTTCTCTGTATTGGATTGATTCTCTTGGTTCGCCACGTTTTTCGTGGACGACACGGACGACGAGGCTGGTCGCATTGGTTGTATCTCTCAAGCCTGATGCATGTAGCAGGCTCCAGCTCGTGTGTCGTCGGTGTTGCCCCGGCGAAGGTTCCGCGCAGCAGGCGTGAATCGCCTCAAAGTGAAGCGTGTTTAGCGCAACTTAAATTGCCGTACTTTTAGTCAGAGGCGGCGTGCGTACAGATGCCTATGCATTTTCGACACCAGCGATATTACTGCAAGGGCAGGGAAGCACAGGAAGAAGTGTTGATTTGGGAAGCGGAGAGGAAGGACCAGTGGTGAAAAGGGTTGGCATCACGGTAGACACACCCAGGTACCTGTTGTTTGAAATATGTGCCCTCGTGCAATGTTGCTGTGTCGCCAAGCCGAGAGTGGCAGGTAAATGGGGGTGCGTTTTTTTAATTTAGATGTTATTTTCCGCGTGCCGATGAGGTAGAACCAGGCGAGTTGTCTGATGCATGCGTGGGGCGTGGCGGGGGCAGGTCCCTTTCTTTTTGTTGGGATGCGCTGGCTCCGCCGTTGTAAGTTTTTTACGTTCTAGGTTGACACTCAGCCGTAGAAGAAAGTCTAGCCGTTCGAGAATCCCGAACAGCAAGTCAGTCGCCTGTTTGCCTATATTCGCTGTACCTGGTAGGGTGAGCTTTTCACTGTTGAACAGACAACACAACAGTCACGTCGCGCATTTTGTAAGGAGGAGGACGCGGCAGTTAGGTTTAGATGTTTTCCTTTTTATCCATTGAAGAGAGGGGGTCAATGTCCGTATCGGCACGTTTTCCCTCTCCTTCTGTTGTCGCAGCAGTGTTGCGTGTTTCACCACTCACGCACTCCATTTATGAATGGGGTATCGAAAGCTCTGGTTTCTCTGAGCGTCTGTTTCTGTTGAGTGGGACAGTACATTTCATCAGTGTGCGGTGCACTCTTGTACATTAACACCCGAGGTGCAGCCTGGCGCGTAGAGGTTTGTTGGCGAAACGCGCAGGCTTATTTTCATTCTTGGACGCGACTTGTTAAATACTTCGTATGTAAGCCTCAGGGTAGAGTACCTAGACCTTTTATGATGTCGACGGTGCTCCTTGTTCCGTTGTCCATTGTTTTAGCGTTGTTTTTGCCAGCACTGCCACATACACATGGCCGGCTGCACCTCTGCAGCACAGTGTCTTGATCGTCGTCTCGTGGTTACGTCCGTTTTGTGAAGGGTTCTAGAATGTTGTCATGGCACCGGTGCTCTTTGATTTCCGCGTTCTGTGAGGGTCATTTGTTGCCAGCACTGCCACAAACGCATGATGACTGGCTGCATCACAGCAGTAACTTATCTGTCGCTCGTTGTTCGTTCTTTCTATAATCCATTCCATGTAAGTTTTTGTTTATTAATAGTATGCCGGTGTTTGTTGCTGCTGGTGGATTCTCGTACTATAGGGTCCGGTTGTATCGCAACCGTTTCCCCTTGTGATATCCCCTTGTAGTACGGGCGGCGCGCACAGCTGGTCTGGCGTCACATGTGGGTACACGAACAGTTTTCTCGCTTTGCCATCTGCACAGAAAGCTGCCTGTATTGTGTCCTCCAGAGGTTTTTTTCAAGCGGCTGTCAGATCTTCGAATACAGTGGGCATATCTGCCCTTTTTCTTCCCGCGACGTGGTCTCCATGCCGAGCGCTGGCCGCACCGTTGGACGCAACTGCCGCGACCTTGCGTTGGTCGGTCCAAAGGATTTTTGTAGGATAGGTTGGAGAGCGGTTATGAACATCCAACCAGCATGGACAGTTTACTATGCACGTCGTGTACCTGCCTTCGAGCACAAACAAGGTGATCTAGGATTCATTTAACTTGCCGTAAGTCGTGGCGGCTTGAGTGCCGGGAGCGTGGGATGATGTTGCAGCCAACGGGGTCAAGCCATCATTGTCCGACAAAGGCACGACATGCATTTAAAGTATGTTCTACTTGTACTCTGGGCTTGTAATATATCACTCGATAAATTCTGACAAACAGCACAGAGTCGTTGCCTGGATCAAGCGCCTCGGCAGCTGGGATGTACTGCAAGATTCTCTTACTGCCTCGTTTTGCCCGCGGTCTTGCAAGATGCTCGTAGGCGAAAGCCCGCGAGTACCAACGAGGTCCACGCTTGTTCCCCAAATAATCAGGCACCAACAGACAGCAGTCAGTGCGCACCTTTCTTCGCAGGGTACTGCTGGAGGGCCACGCAACTACTTGTGCTTGCCTCAAGAGTGGCGACTAAGGCAAACAAGACTTTTGGCGAGTGTGATGGATGAATGCCCAACAGCGCCACAAACGACCACTGTAGCACTGTGCAATAGCACTGCCGGAGACACTGGCACCGCGTTTCAATGGTCCTCGAATCTCTTTGAGGGAAGGACTGCTGAGCCCCAATCGCGAAACGCCAGCCACGGCATGCTCCCGGGAGGAGCCAGATACCGGATCAAGGCTGTTCAATTAGAGAGGCTACGCGATATACTGGGGTAACCAAGCACTGCGAGCGACGGAAAATGATCGGCGAGAGGAATAACAATATATCCGCCGACAGCACTTGCTCAAGATACACTCCTCCACCGCGCCGCTCGTCTTGCTGACTATTCCGCAAGTGCGGAATCAAACAAATAAACGGTCCTGAGAAGGTTGTCCTCGATGTCCTAACACAAATGTTCATGTCTCCCATTCCCCCCATGTGCTACCGCCACAGTCGGCACGTGCTACTCCAGCAATCCAGGGAGGCATGGTGGACGTCGACTACACCACGCGCGCACATGCGTAGACAACGTAGACCCCCTCTCCTGAGTAGATCCTTGATTGAAACTTCGTAAATCTTGGGGCGAGTATGCATGTGTACATGTATCGTACACGCCCAGCCACAGGAGAAAACCCCGTGTGGTGAACTTGCTTGCCACAATGCAGGCAGGAAATGTACGGGGCGATCTGCTAACTCGCCAGCCCACCGCTTCTGCTTACACTTGTGCTTCTTCTTCTGCTGCTGCTACTGAACACACCACCGTCAACCGCCTTGCAATACGACAAAAACAAGGGCTGACCAAGCACGTCGGTAAAGAACATCCATCCCGCGGACAGTCGAAGGCCTCCCCATGCCCCTCTCGTAGTCGTACGCACCTCGCACCCTCCCCCTCGCACAGGCTGCACCTCAACCTATCAGGGGCGACGATCGAAGCGAGACGATTGGCTAAGAGCCGACAGAGCTCCAATACGAAAAATCCTCTTAACAGCATTCTGTGTACAGCGTACACTGCCAGCCACAACTACAAGTGGAACCCCGGGTATGGATACACCTGTTTTCTTGCTAAAACAAGTGCCCATAAGCCGGGGAAGTGACCGTAAGGTTGATACGCCTCCTTACGTTATATATTATGCGAGCCACGATGCCTGTAAAAAGTTTCCCAAGTTTTGGTGTTCTCAAGCGAGGCACTGTACTCACATCCTTGAATCCCAGCGGGCGTTGTAGAAACGGATGCGCCGCTTTGTACACAGCCTCCTTCATCGAAAACCTTAGCAGCACCTCCTCCTGGTCGCTCATCCCATCAACGCCACCAAGGCTATCGCACTCCCTCGGCGTCAGCACTCGTCGGCGCAGGTCCAAACGCCTCTGCACGGCTGGAAGCTCGATATCGACACCTGTTGCAAAGCACATCGACAGCACCGCATGAGAAACCGAAGCCTTGGGACTTCAAACAGAAGACCCCGTCTCTTGGACGTAACACGAAACTGAGAAGAGGTCGAAAGTTGGCGGGCCTCATAGTCTTGAAGGACTGACTGACTGGTGATCTGGTGCGCATGCAGGCTCAAGCCAGCGTCATGCACTCGCCGGGAACATGCACGTTTTTCACTTGCCACGAGCGAGTGGCTAGATAAATGAGAAACGTTTTCCCATGTATCTAGTTTTTGTCGCTTGTAGGTGTTGTTGTTGCTGTTGCTTCCTTTGTTTTCGTCGTCTCGACACGGAGAAACCGCTCCGGGAGCTTTCAAGTATCTCCCCAACCGCACTCTTAGAAAGGAAAAACAAAGACCTCAAAGCGCGCTCAGGTGAATACCTCGCACCCTCCCCAAGCGAAATTCCCACTTTTGTAGCAGTACCGCGAGAAATGCAAGACTCGGTTGTGCAGACAGTAACATGTGCGTAGCGGGACAGCACGGACACAAGCACCATCCACCAGCAAACCTCGGGAATTGAGCCACAGACTCGACCAAACCGACCTTACGAGTCCCTCGCACTCGATGTCTTACGCCCAACCGGGTTACTCGGGGAGCACACGTTGCTTACCCAAGTGCCCCTCGCACCCGGACTGCACGAGAGCAACAGCCAAATGCTGCTTGTGGCTTATGGACGCGGAGACTCCTTCTGGCAGCACCGGGGCACCATCTTGGTTGTGAAGGATTGCTTGTAAGGACGCGGCTGCTGTAACGTCCTTCATGCCCTTTAACGCGCGACGGATAGCAAGCCGCCCGCCGAGAAAACCCAACTGGAGACGATCATCACACAAGGAGCAGGGCGCGAAACACGAAAAAGGGAGGCACACCGACGGTTGTGCTGCTGTGAGAGGAGGACTGCCGGGGCGTGTGACTGAGGACATCACTCCCAACGGTTTCCAGAGAGTGGCCTAGGGGTGCAGCCAGGTTGACACGTATTGTAGCGAAAGCGACACGGTATCGACGACGGGCTTGCTTTTGGGACGGAATGTCGCACGGAAAGGCTCATGCTATTGAACGAGCGGCGGCACCCTCACCACCAACACCAACACGCAGACACGCCGGTCATGAGGACGTTACTCTCAAAAGTTGGTCTCACATCTCACGCCTGGATGTGATTACTCGACATCTGCTGTGACTCCGGGACTGGAAACAGAGGATCTACCACGTGCAAAGCTTTGCTATGTCTACATCGACTAGATAAGCAGAGTAAAGTTGTGGCTGCAACTGCTGCATTCTGTAGCGAAACACTTCATGTACTCGTAAAGAGCCGGTGTGGCAAAGGAATGATCATAGTCGCTCCAGCGACACGCCGGGTACCTGGTAGTGCGAAACAAACAACCTGTCAATCGCCAACGACCTCGCCATGTTCGACAGCAGTTACGGAGCAAGTCATATTTGGCCGCGAGCGAGTGTACTACACCCCGAGTGACCAGCGAGTAGCGAACACCTTGGGGCACGATCGAGAGTTGTATGCGTATGCATGCATAGTGTGTGCACGCAGTGCGCACACAAGGGCCGTAATGTAGACTTGTCGACTGCTGTGAAACAACCAGCAGGGATCAGACGCACCGGAAGCTTGTGGTGTGAGACACTTGAGCTTCCAAAGCCAAACCATGCCAACAGTCTTGACAACCAACAAATCCCACCTGCAGTGCTCTTGGCAGCCCCAGGCAGTACGCCATCTCCTTGGGCAAGAGCTCTTTTCCTGCCGCTGTCATGACATCATCGGTCAAGGCCGGAGGCAACGCCACCCCGACGCAGCGCCCGAAAGGTAGAATTCTGTCCATTGCGGTAGGCAACTGCGAAAGCTGCACTCGAGAAGAAGAAGCAGAGGTAGATCCTCCGCATGCGTCGGAGTGTAGCATGCTCGTCGCCCTGCCACGGCGGATGCCTTTTCGTCGTGGCAGGGTGGAAGTCGCGGCGGCTAGTCGAGCAGACTCGAAGCTTCGAGCGTAGCTCGCGGAGCGAAGGTAGCGAGAGTGATGCACGCAGAAGGCCATCGACAGAGCGGGAGAGTTACACAACAGCAGGATTACATAGGCAAGCGTTGCCCAACGGTGAACGGCGACCTTGCGTTCCATACAGGCGCGAGTTACAGTTCGTGATTTCGTGTCCCATCTCTCGTCTCTCGCTTGTGTAGCGAGCACTCGACATGTTCAAGCCCCCGCGGTAAGGTGGGTGGGCATATAATGTTCATCCGGTATATGCACGGGGCCTCCAACCGCGCCGCCCCTTTCGGCAACAGAGAGAGACCGGACCGGGGTTAGGCTCGTCAAGGGCCAGCACTGCAGCTCTCCTGTCGACACCAGTGATTACTGAGGGTAGGAGTATATCCCTCCCAGTGAAGGATCGTAGTTTTCAAGCAGAACAGAGCTCTTTGCTTTGCTTTTGTCAAGTTCCCCCACACTCGTCTGTCTCACTCTCGCGCGTGGTATTTAGACAGTTCAGCTCGTCTTCTTCTTGCCGTACTGGGCACGCGTTCTTCCCAAAGATGAGCATTGGTGCATGTGATGGTGACGGGGCTATTTGGCGGCAGAGTGGGTTTTCTTGCACAGGGTCTATGAGACCGTGTTCGATTTTCCGCTCAGATGCAAAGAATAGTCGTAGAACCTAGATAAACATGACGATGAGAGCATCCAAGAATAAATTTCAACTCTGAGGGAGGACATAAAGAGCGTGCAAGTACTTGTAACGTGTATGAGCGTTCTATAGCGTGTGCGGGGTCCATTGGCGTATGAGACCTGCGGCCAGTTGATGCAAATTTATTGGTCTCTTGTTGAAGAGTCACTCAACAGGACGCTCGTGCAACGAGGGCATCAGTATACAGTAGTGTAGTAGTAGCACCAAGCGCCCCTCCCGCTTTTTTTGTGTGTTTTATGTTTTTTTGTGTTTGCCCTTTGTTTCTGCAGTGTGTGACGCAGCGGGGTGAGCATGGTCCCTTGGCAGAGTTCGGGAAATGGGTGGGATCTTCCACGGTTTCTTCTGCTATGGATAATGTCAACCACGAAGAAGCTAAACAGTCACATTGGGCGCTTGCAAATTATACCAGCCAGCCAGTCAGACGAGGTGTAGTAGTACCCCTTGCCACACAGAAAGGCTCCCTACTCAGAAGTTCTCATTCCGGGCTGACTCGAACTCGAACATTCATTCCGATCTACCGAGTGATGGAATAAATGAATAAATCAACAAGGGAGGGGCTCCTGCAGTGCGTTCTCCCAGAGGTAGCCACCATGTTGCCCTCCAGAGACACAGGTGAGCTTGCGTGAGGATGGCCATTTCGAAATACATGCATTTGTTTGGATGCGGTGATGGGCGAGGAGTAAGTCGGTAGACCGGACCTCGTTGTCTCCTGATTGATCCTTGTTTGTTCCAGCCGGAAAGCAGGCGGCACAAACAAAGAACCCGGGCATGAACTCCCAAGCATTCCCAAGCAACCGCCCCAGAGTCAAGAGCCGCCAATAGCAATGAACTCTTCATCTTTACCATGCTTTACAGGTGTTGCTTTCTCTGTCATTTTCGCCGAGTATTCTCGTCATGGTGGATGCGCCGCCGCCTTGTCGTCATCGGTACTTCTACGATGTCGCTGCTTGAGCACACGCTCGCTATTGGCGGTCGTTGCCAGCTGACCACACGCCGAACTCTCCTCGTCCCCCCTGTGGGAAGAAAGCGAAATGAAATGGAACCACAGCAGATGAGAACGGAGCAGGTTTGATCATCAGAAACTTGACTAATATAACGAATCTTGAAACTCGTTGGAGCAGTGCTCAACGAGTCTCTGGAGGTGTCGGGATTTTGAGACACGTGTCACAGACCAAATGCTATACACACAAAGAAGATGTGGAAAGATTCAGAATGATCGACACACGACAGAGTGTTTACGGGTAGGCCACATCATTCCGCTAGATCGTCGGCGGCAAAAGAGACCCTTACCTTGCCGTCCGAATGGTTGCCACGAAGCCCTCTTGTGTCAAGACCCTCTGGAACTCCTCGACAGATTCCTTTGGCGACGCCCGAAAGAAGGGATGCCCCGTATCGTTGTAAGGGAGCAAGTTGATCCCCGCCCGAATGGGCAGTGGTCTCAACAGTGAGGCGAGAGCCCGGGCCAGCTCTGGGCTGTCGTTCATCCCTTTGATGAGCACCACCTCGACGAAAAGGTGTTCTCTTCTTCTCGACTGCAATACCTCGCCGAAGGCATCCCTGCCCCCAACGTATGCAGCGTGCGCGGGAGAAGACAGCCGGAGTTACAGCGGAGAAAAGAGGAAGAAATGGGACCGTCAGGCGGTTGATTGAGGTGTAGACACCACAGAACTCGCCGCAGGGAATGGTGACGCGGGAAAAACAAGTTCGAAACGTCACCAGCACAACAAGGCAAGCACTAGCGGTGTGGACTCACACGTCCAGGGACTTTTGCCCTGAAGCTTGATGCAAAGCAAAAGGTGGTGGCGAACGGGCTCCCCTCCCGGACGCCTCTTCGACAATATGCATATGCATACGTTGGTCTCACCTCAATTCAGCCATGGTATGCACGGTCGTGGGCACGAGCAGTCGCCGGACATCGTCAGTAGCGGCATGGACAGACCAAGCCAAACGACTCGGCATGCCCTTCATCCTGCGGATGGCGGCAGGCGAAGGGCCCACTGTAGACACAGAGATCTTGCTCTTGGCCATCGCAAACGCGAATGGGTGCGTAAGCACTTGCAGCGACTGCGTGACCGCCCCTGGGTTGTCCAGCGGCTCTCCCATGCCCATGTACACCGCGTTGGTTAGGGGTGGCTGGACAAGGTTGGGAAACGTGCCACAGCAAGAATCGTTCGAGTCTACACCGTTAGGTGACGAACGTGGTACTGCTGCACACCACACCAAAGTAGAGAGTAGAGACGGCGCGACAAAGTTAACAAAATCCCGAAAGTGGGCTGCTTCGCGTTTGCCGTGCCACGTGATCTGAAGTCCTTCGAGACCAAACAGAACCGCTGGACGTTCTGCCACCAAAACAGGACTGCTGTACGTCCGGTTGTCGATGATCTCTCGAAAGTGAGACAGCTACTCAAGACCGATACTCCACGCACGCTACAAAACGCTCACCATCCCATGCTCCCTCACTGTCTCCCGGGCGAAGAACACTTGGCCCAGGATTTCTCCTGCGGTGAGATTCCTCACCAAGCCCATCTTGCCGGTCATGCAGAACTGACAGTTCTTCGCACAACCTATTTGGCTCGAAACGCACACCGTTGACCTGGTTTCGGGACAACAACACAGAACACGGAACACGGAACACGGAACACGGAAACAAACGGATATGGATTACCCTACTGGGACGCACGCGTGTGCGGCGATGAAAACAAGCGAGTGGTGGTGCACAATCACATGCAGCAACAGTGTTCCGACATAGAATGGCGATACACAGAAAATGTCAGGCTGGCCTAGCGTGCCGGTAGGTCGCGTCAGATTTCGCCAGCGGCGACTTTAGCAACCCAATGGACTCATGCATTCGGCCACTGCTGCTGTAGGTCACATTAGGATGTCTGAAGTGTAATAGCATTTGCAGTACAAGAACGACCGTACTCTCCTGCATGAGTTTGAAGCGGTATTGTGAAGGCGTTGCCATGCACGGGGTACTGCAAGGGTGTCAGCAACAACCGAAACGGTGCCAAGGAGACTGCTTGTCGGTGACTGTGAGATGTCCCAACTGCGGCGGTGCTCAGCGACTCGAAGCAGCATCCGCGGTGCGACCCCGTTCCATCCCAGCTCTTCTGGCGCCACTCGATTCTCGAGCAAACAGTCCACAGCTACTTAGCAAAGCGTCGATCGCATATATTGTTGTTGATGCCTGTGTGCAGGTGGTGACTGGCGATACTTATGTACCCACCTTGAACCGCTGAGGTCCGGGATGACCACCGTCTCAACCTCCAACCCATCTTCTAGCTGAACCAGTAGCTTCCTAGTGCCGCAGGACGAAACAGACTCCCGCACCACCTATGTAGTGCATGTGTGTGACGGCGTGCAGCGGACGAAAACGGGGTTCGTCAAAGTTCATATGGGTTCGTCAAAGTTCATGTGCCTCATGAATCACGGGTCTCTTCTCTGCCTGTAGGCACGGCGGTGACACCCATTCAACCGCTTTTCACTGCAATCTATCACGACAAATCAGCCCGTGCCTTGCTTGCCTACAAATCAAACAGACGCTGCTGGTGCTGCTGCGCAGCACATGCATACCACACCTGCCACGGTAGACGTTCGACGGTGTCCTTGAGCACTGCTGCCGTCTTATCCGTAAGAAATTCCGCCGCATCTCCGAAAGGATCAACCCCAGCACTCAAAGCCGACCAAACCATCTTGGCACGCCCAGAGCCACCCAATATCTGTGACAATTCATCGAAGTTGAGGGAGAGCAGGTCCCCACCAGGGACAGGCTTTGGGGCTGGTGCTGGTGGATGTGCCGTGTGGGCGACTGCTGTTGCACCTGCTTTGGGCGCTGCCGCCGTGGTTGAACGTGTGCCAGCGGTTGAGCTGTAGAGAAGAAAGGACTCCGATGAGGACACCATCATTGCGGAGACGAACGCTGAAGACCATGACCCCCCCATGACAAATACGAGAGGGCGACCCCCTGAGATGGTCACAGGGACAGCAACCCAGTACCCAGCAGTGACAGAGGGTGCACCTGCGATTGGTGGCGCGCCAAATGGGAACCAAAGGTGTTCCAAGAGTATGTTCGCATGTTTTCCTCTTGGCGGTTTCATGTTTCGCCCGCCTCGTGGGCTCGTGGAAACGCTGGTGTCATGGCGCTGAAGCCTCGCACACAGGCATGTGTTCCACGACAGCCAGCACGTCAAGCACGACACTGGATGTTAGCAGGTTGGTCAAGTTTGTCGAGCTTCTAGTCTATGACTACCTGCAGGCCAAGGGTTTCAAAGAGACGGGGGAGAAGTTTGAGGAGGAATGCTCGAATTGTGCTCGAGATCGAGAAAGCGACTCTCGTTCAAAAAAACGCCAGGGGGAAGATGTTGCTCGTACGGTCGCCGACCAGCCTGATACTGCGGACGAGGCATCCAGCTGGTACTATCTTGCCGAGAAGTTGGCCCTTCCGGTGAGGATAAGAACAAGGCTGCCCCAGTGCATACTCGGGCTACTCCATCGACCATCCCGTCCCATTTGTTCTCAATCGAATAGTGCAGGCACTTTTTAAGCAAGTGTCTATTTGGTCTAGTCTACATACGTGCATGTGTGCATGCGTGCATGCACGCAATCATACATCAGTCATGATCAACGGCGCTTTCCGTTTGGGTGGATGATGAGATGCACGCCAACCGCATAATGGTTGTCAGGGCCTTTTGTGTGATAATCATATCTGAGACGCTCATTACAAGTAGAACGCGCTCCGATCTTGAGGCTCGGCGGAAAGAGTTTCACGTTAACACCCTACACAGGCCGATGGCGTGGCTGTTGACTGCTGGTATTCACGCAAAACGATTGAGTGATTCCTCTTTCGCCTAAATGAACCCTCGTTCACGCGTTCAAGATTCACCCATGTCCAACTATTTGGTGAGTGAGGTGGTAGCAATTACTCGTTACTAACGAGGAAGGAGGTCGTCGCCATTTGTGTTCCTGTTCTTCATTTCACGAACACAGTTCTCCGTCACTTACAGAAGTCCATCGCACGCCGCCTCGCTTTGAATATCATTTTGCCACGAAAGAGAGGGTTTGCTTACTTCTTATTCGTTTTACCTTGTACTTCCTACTGCAATAGTCTCGAGAAAACGTCATTGTGCTCTTTCAACTGCTGTCGACACGCAGGAGCTTCTTCGACACAACACGATGGCCCCGGCTGGACAGCGCTTAACAGCCATCATGGAGGTGCTCGTCCAAGAGCTAGCGCAGGAGAGAATCGTCAGATCACGCGCACCCTCCTCCGTATCTATAGCTAGCTTACGAGACTCGAAAGGTAGACGACGACAGGTTGGAAACCTGCATATGCCGACTTCCTTGGAGCGACCGCGCTCTTTAGGTGCCAATCTCTCAAAAAGCGTGGTAGACGTCGCCGCCACCGACACCGGCACGTTCAGCGACATTTCGGCTGGGTCGATCCCGAAGACGAGCGGTCACCAGTCAGCGCTCAAAGCCGAAGGGGAGTCCGGCTCAGAGACGTTACCTGGGGGGCGTGGGGGCGGCTCCATAATGACCGAGGTCGCAGGAGATTCCAAGGAACGCTGCAAGATGAGGTGAGTCCTTCATCATATGCGTTATTTCAATCTTGCGCTGGTTCCATCTGCTTCGAAAGTGTGTCGTAAGCGAACAGGCGAGGCGATGGCGCGGGAAGCTTGCCCCTGGTTTCTTGCATTCGCTCACCACCAAAACAGAAGAATTGCGGCTTGTTGTTTAAGAACACTTGAGGATTTCACGAACCCCTTGCCCCATTGCAAGAGCTGCAACTTCCTGTCTTCTTGTTTTGTTTGGGTATGCTTTGCTCAGCTCTTTACAGGGCAAAATGGGAGCATCTCGCAAGAACCTCGGAGCAAGGACCGAAGGGGGCCGGGAGGCGCCACGAAAGCACCACACGTCCAGCGCAAAGAGAGGTCACCGGCACTCATCGCCCCTTCAGGTTCAAAACATTTTTCACTTGGCCGTAGAATGTTGCGTTGCTGGTGCAAAGCCATGGTATCAATGGTTTGGTTTGTTTTGGTGTTGGCCTAGAGAGGACAGTGGCGAGACCTCGGACTTGCCGGAGGAAGTGGCTATCGAATATCAAGAGCAACGTAGGAAGATTTTCAGCGACATGGTGCCTATTGTAATGCACCTGCCGTAGTACTTCAGACATGGTCACAAGGCTATGTTTTCACATCGATCCTTTGGACAATAACAACGTGGCAACTCGCAGCGAAACAGAGCATCCAGTGCCGGAGGTGTCCTCAACAAGTTCCAATTCAGCAAGGACGCCATTCGCAGGTAGTTGCCTCCATTTTTTCAAGCCAATACTATCATAACGCTATCTTTGTTGGAAGTACCAAACCGACAACGGATCTGTTTCGCAAACACGCAACAATTGGTTGTAGACGCTAGGCTGATTTTGATTGTCAACACTCGTCGCACAATGTGTTGGCAATTGCGGTAATGTTGTCATTTTCCCTTGCCATACGTTTTTGCCCCTCCGTCACGTTTTTGTGAGAATGACTGCACTTGACTGCATCATGACAAAACACCTCGAGCTACCAAGCTGCGACGCTTTCTGGTTGTGAAACACGGTTTGTGGTAATTGGATTGTTGGTAAGCCTAACCCTTACCGCAAAACAGGATATCAGAGCGTCGCAAGGGTTTACGCAACCTGGTCTCGCTAAACTTGCCCTTCGTTGCTCCTTTGGTCTGGTGATGAACAACAGGCAGCAGATGAGCCACGAGAATTGGATACCAGATGATCTCCGAATGAAGGTCAGTCGGTACATTCCGACCAGGTCGTCAAAACAAATTGAGCGCACTCAACAATAACTCATTTGCAATAGCGGCATTAATGCGAAAAAAAAACAAAAAATGACGTCTTGTTAGAGGGGAGGTTTCGCCTTCAGAAAAGCGCGATTACGCGCTCATCTGTCTGAACTTAGAACAAACACACCGTTATTCAAAGGAGGTACCGTTGGTAGCACTGTACGGTTGCTCGGGGGCTAGTGCTGTACTTCAGACACACAACTCTGAATGTACCGTGAGATTGGGTCAAGACATGGAGTTCTAATTTTCTTGCTGGCCTGCAGATGGTGAGACGAGGTATGGCAGTGATTAAGGAAAACGTGTTCGAGAGCGTAGCGCACGGGAGCCTGGTGAGGAAGGAGAAGAAGCGAAGCAGTCGCAGCGAGCTAGAGATCGTCAAGACTCAGGAAAAGTTCGGAACAAAGCATCAGAGGCCTTGCGCCTTGTGCGAGCAAAGCTTTAGCGAGGTCAACCTCGTCCTGGCCGTCCCATTCAAGGTGAAGGTTACAGCGGTACAGAACCGTCTTCCTGGAACAGGAATGTCCTGCAAGGTTTAGGAAAGCGTCAGTATTGCCTTCCAGCTAAAGTATACTCCTATCCGGCACGCGCTCGCTTTTCGCCCCGATCGCTTTCACGCCAATCCAATGCTCTGGCGGGCTTAGGCTATCGTGGACCTGCGTATGGCATGGCAGAAGACCCTTCCGCAGGCAAAGGGGAGCACAACCATGACGAATCGGACGATGCTCATGCCACCTCAATGCTACAACGAAGTCAAGGCGAGATGAACCGACCCTACTGCTCGCCACCTAGAACACCACATAAGCATCCAGAGCAACCTGCCGTGGTACTAAGGAGCGATCCTTGCGTTGTCGTGAATCGCACGAAGTATGTGTGCTTGCGTCTTTCCGTCGAATTAAGTCCCTGTGGCTTGTATCTTGTGCGTTTCGCTCAGGGAACCTTCCACGCTCAATTTTGTTCTTGAGCACAAGTGCACTGAACGCTTGTCAACACCATCGCGCATACATACATCTGGGACATTCCGTAACTCGTAACGGTCTCCTTCCAAGCATGTACATCACCCGTGAGGGCTGCCTGGTCTTTTCGATAACCGTGCCACGGAAAAGCGAAGACATATCAATGTTGGAGACTAGCTGTAGTCAAGAGAGCCACAACGGAGCGCCTGCGCTACTGCTGTCCGTCGTGCACATCGTCTCGCGTCTAGGTCTGCGCATTCTGCAGCCAGTTGTTCCACGATCCGCTGGGCTACCGCCCAACTTGGGATATGGAAGTTTCAAGGTAAACGAACTTGGTCCCTACCTACCGGAAGAGATGTTGCGCCTTAAGCACCGCCCAAAGAGAAGTGCGCGAGATTTCAGATTTGGTTCGAGGACCTAAATACGTCCTCTCGATCACTTCAATCATTTTTTGTCTAGGAAACCTCGTTTGTTGTGTGGTGGGCCAACTGCCAGTAGATTTTGTTGCAGAGTACCCGTACGGTCGTTCTTTACGGCAACCACGGCTGACCGGCACAACTCGACCTTGCTTGTGATTGAACTCGGGTGAAACTCTTACGTCGGTACGTTTGGTTCAGTTGTAGGCAGGAAAACCCCTTTTTGCACCGAGTAGGATGACTTCCAAGTTACACCTGATCAGGGCTTTCCAGCTTCTAGAGAGGCAAGGGTGCGGGGTAAGCAGGAACTGTAAGCCGCGTTAAATGGACGGTGTGATGATTATACGAAAACGAAGCATAGGACAATCAAATCTCATTGTGTACCTTGGCGCTGTGGTGCATCTTTCCAGGATGCGCAAGAAACGAGAACAGCTGGCGCGCGAAAAAGAGCGAGAGTACTGGGATCCGCTCAGAAAGGTATCAAAGGAGATGGGCACAGTTCATGAGGCTTCGTCTACATGTTAGCTAGCACATTCGGCGTCTTCCGGTTCTTGTCTTCGCGATTCTTTGCGGGCAAAGGTGGGAGGTTGTCGAAGGGGGGAGCCAGCAGTGTCCCGAATCTCGATGGCGAAATGTTATGTTTTTTGACAGCATCGATACCCTTGCTCCTGTGTACAACTGCAGAGGGCGTCCTCTTGGCTCTGCTCACTACCAGAAGGGAATGGAGGGGTGGGCGGGCAAAATCGTACTGGAGGGGGTGTGCAGGGGCCGGATGTAAATTTTGTAGTCTTCCACTTCGAGACGGCAAGATCAAGGTAGTGAGTTTCACTGGTTGCATTCAAGTACGTCGTGTCTACCGTGAGGTACACTGTAAGCGACCTCGACATGATTCATGGACTTGAAGGTGCGTTCAAGAGGGTGCAGAACGAGTGTGTACCACGATCATGATCGCAAGTATGCTGAGATACGAGGGAAGAAACAGCTTGTTTGCACGTGCTGCCCTGTCGGGAGCATTTTCTTCCATTCACACGAAGCACGCACCACATGCACTGCATGCAATCCTCCTCCTGTCTTGCTTGCCCGTGGCTCGTTATCTGGCAGGTGACACAGGCCAAGGACCAGGAGCATCATGTCACGCCGCCAGCACCAGAGGTCAACCAGACTACATCTCCACCTTCCCTCCTCGCCGAGGCCTGAACGCAAATTTCGTAGACGTCTATTCTCACTGTTTGGCAATACCAAAATGTTTGCCCCACTGAAGTACGTTCTAGATAGGGTCCTGGACAGCGATAAATAGTACCCTCGTAGGAAGTAGGTTGAAAACAAAGGTCATCGGAGAAATTCCAAAGGCAATCAGCGCCGGAGTTTTGTGAACTGAAAGTTGATGCCCCACCATTGTGATAGGTATTTTTGACGTGTACAGACCTACGGTAGACTGTACCGTATGACAACGTGAATTGCAAGAGTTTTCTAGAGCCTGCGGAAAAGCTCACAAGCTTTGCAAGCGCTACCGTCATTTTTTGCGTGTGTGTCCGTTGGCGGGTGGGCATGGACGTTTCTAGTAAGTGGTGGACTCGTCGTTGCTTGCGCTGCGTCGAGCGCGAATCACCTCAGCAAACGGCGAAGCATCCAGTTGAATATCTTGCGTTGCCTTCGAGACTTCAAGTAACTACGGTAGGCAAACAATCTGGGCCAAAAAATGTGCCTCCGAAAGCCTCTAGTGGGTTGCTTGAATGCTTGTCAGTTTGTGTCCATGTTGTCATCGCTGGACAGTGTGGTGGTTTTGGCCGTGTTTGAGTTTTCGATGATGTTTCCCCGAACGCGCAGGTGTACATTTAGACAAGCCTCCTCCTCGAACACGCGGAACGTGCCGAGGGATGTGTACGAGAGAAGTGTACGCTGTGTTTCCCTTTCGTCCATCTTGAATATTTTTCCGCAAATCCAACAATCGAAATACTGTAGCGCGAGCGTAAACAACACCCGCCGTCACGTGTCCTCAGTCTGTCGCAATCAATCTTCTACCGGTACTCTTTGGCGTGCCCCAAATAAGAGATGAGTCTGGGTGCATGTTACACCGGGGGGGGCGCACCCCCCAAAAAAGTCTTCGCATGCCAGAGAAAAGAAAAAGAGGTACATGATAGGGAGACGAGGTGCAAGGAGAGAGAAGGCAATAACAATGTGTTTTACGAAAGGCTGGCTGAGGATGTATCGCTCAGGTGCCGGTACGAACCATGCGTTGGTGCACAAGAGCGTGTGTGCCTTTCGCGGTTCTTTCTCAATCCTTCTTTTCGATCTTTCCTTCCTCCCACCTCAACAAAAAGACACCGAATCGACATCAAAATCTCTAGTGCGAGTGCAGTTCCTCAGGGTTAACGTTTCCATGTTCACACGCCCGTGGATTATGCCGGTTTGCCGTGCCGACATTCGATGTCCTTTCCGTGCGGTTCGTTCGCTATCTCGATTCTCAGGTGAACAGTCGGTTGCAGAAAGTGGAATCGCCCCCGGTAGCTACAAAACAGATTCATCAACAGTACATTTGGATAGCTCATCCCTCTCCTCTTTCCTTGGCGTTACATGCTTCAACATAGCAACAACCAATCGCATCATGAAGAAGCTTATGTGTAGCATCCATCAGCGACAGACGTACGGTACCTGCACCTGTACGGCTACTAACGTGCCTGCTGCGCTGGGGAATACATTTGCCTGATTCGCAAATGTTTACGCAGCCTAGGGTACACAAAAAGTGTAATCGGTACACGATTCTCTCAACGTTGTACCTCGTGGAAGAAGTTGGCACAAGGGAGGCACACATCCCCTTGCAAGGCACGCCACCTTCTGTTTTCAAAAGCAACGTTCCAACGGACTATCAAGGGCCACAAGTATTGCTGGCATGTAACGGTGCAGGCTTCAACAACGGGAACGCGTCAGCCATACCGGAACCCGTCGGTCTTTAGGAAATGGGGATGGAAGGATTGGTTAGGTTCCGTTCCGTCCTTCCCCTTCTTGCACACACGCAATTGATACCGTTTGATATGCCGTGTCGCAAGGCCTCCGCCCGCTGGCCCTAAACCTGTGATCATGTTGGTACCGGTCATGCTTGCGCACGCCGGCCACACGCCGCTGAAATAGCAGCTTCGTCATTGGAACGCTCAAAACACGCAACACATAGCACGCCGGAAACGCTGGTGTAGGCACTGAAACAACACGTAGATGGCGACCGACCGCCAGCACTAGCAGCGGTAAACGCGGGGCATGCAGTGCTTCCCCGACCTACTTCGCCGAAACTTTCGCCACCAGCGCGTCCCTTGCAGGCATTACCACTGCCGCCACGAGCTCCGCCACGCGAGCCTTTCTGTCCTCGACATCCATCGTTGTCGCCGCCTCCCGCACCTATGTGCATCACAAGCGAAAATTTCTCGCTTTGACATCAGGTTGCGTGGAACGAATCCGTGACAGTAGTAGTACATAATAGCGGCGAAATCTAAGACAACCCTAGGTGAGATACAGCCAAGACGACGTCGCTGCAACGCATAAACTAAAATACATTTCATCCTTCCGAAGTACTTTCGTAAGCATGCTATGTAGACCTTCCAGCGAGCTTTTCCAACCCCGTTACGGTCCGGCGAGCTGCGAGTAAGACCACGACAACCGCCGCGGCCTTTTTTCACCTTCGTGAAGACGACAAAGAAGTTGTTCGCCGGCATGAGGGTCATGGCCGTCAGCTCCAGCCCTTGGTCATACGCCAGGCCGCACACCCACGCCGCATCCCGGATACCCCAGCTCCCGCCGCTGCGAGCCTTGAGAGACGCGTCAAAGTTCTTGTTGCTGTCCGGGATGAGTAGGCCGTTCAGCGCGAAAGGGCCGTAGACAAAGAGGTGCCCACCAACCTTGAGCCCCGCCGCCGCTCCTCCTAACAGACCGCCCGTGCACTCCTATTGGGGCAATGAAAGGGCAGTGCAGGGCCGAGTATCTGATCGCAGTTGCCATTCTTGCCTTGTCACCGTGTGATCTGTATGTTGTCTGTGGTTGTCATTCTCATCACGACAATTTCGCAAAAAGGAAAGACTTGAGTAGACCTGTCCATCTGCAAGACGGCTCCCCGACAATATACTTCGTACGCATAACACACAACACACACACACACACGTGTTTTTGTGTATGGGTGGTCGACCTTTGAATTCGTTCGTTTTGCTGGCGTATGCGGAGTCGGTGGCAAAAGTGCCACCCGGCCGCTATGAAGCTCATTGTAGGCTAATCCAAAGTTCGTAGCCAACGCCTTGGTTCCTATGTACAGAGATCCGTCGGCAGAAGCGCGGCTTGCCTGGCCAATCACCAAGTTCCAGAGCAAACCTACCTGTTGGGAGATGTGAATCATGTTGCTGCACACGATAGCGTCCCACTGCCTGCCGCTGGCTCCTCCCGCCGTCTCGCCTCCAGCTGGGCGTGGCCAGGTGCTTGGGTCGGAGCACACGTCCAGCACTACCGGGGGGTGAATGTTGCTGTGTTTTCCCTCTTCAATGGTAGCCAAGATGTCTGGAATGCGCGTTTGATCGTACTGATGGTGAATGAGACAAATACGTGCGCGAGGGGGAGCGGAGGGTGGAGAAGTTGAGGGAACGACCGAAAATAGAAAGATGGAACGATGGACAAAACAAGACGACACAATATAATTCAGGCGGACAGCGCACGACACACTGCGTTGTTAAGTGTTGTTATGATTCACACAAAATACCTCTATGAACACTGTATCATTTTACCGATAGACTACAAAGGCAAAGACATCATTGTGGTCACAAAGCTTACCCCAGAAGCAAAGCACAGAATAAACGCATGGAACGAAAATGAAGGACCTCTACTACCGTGAAATACGGGCGAACACCAAGGCGTGCAACACATTTTTCAAGAAATAAGTGTTCGCTCCACAACCACGAGGCTGGCTGTCAACATACCGAAAAGGGTGGCGTTGGGAAGACCCCATCGACGTAGGGTTTCCTTGCAGTGACGGTAGGGTTTCTTGACCTTTCAAGGCAAGTCTCTTGTGGAGAGCGACGACCCAGCCTCGTTCCCTCCTTATTGTTTCCATGGAAAATGGTCTATAATAATATTGCAATATTGCCAAGTGTCCCACTTGTCGTTTTGGCAAGCATCTTGACACTTTTCTCGGAGGGCCAGCGGACGAGGTGTTGGTGCGTAGCAACTGCTGTGCTCGGGGGGGGGGGAAGTGTACAAGTCGGTCACACCGACGTTGAAGCGGGGAAACTCTGGCAGTCGTGCGAGGGCAAGCCAAGGTATTTACTGTTCGCGCCCCCCGCCCACCCATTTGCTTCGCGACCATTGTCTACAACACATGCATGTGTGTATCTCAACGCCTGATCCAACATGTTCTTCCATAACCAGCAGCGACGAAGGAGCGGATACATGTGTCTACCCCAGTTGCGCTGGAATGTGCTATGTCCAACCGACACATGTCTACACCGACTAAGTTGCTGTTGAACATTGACTATGAACCGGAGGACAACAATTCCATAACAAACAGGAGCAGTATTTCAAGAGCAATCGAAGCCTGTACTACAGCACAGTCACAACAACACAGCTCACAACCAACAAAGATACCGAATGTGTTGTGTGATACACGATGCCGCTGTTTACCTCTGTTGGCTGATACGTCCAGCATGCCGGCAAGTGGTTAGCAAAGGCTTCCACGTGACACCCGGTTCCAGACGCAACCTCCAGCAGGTGGGGAGCATCATGTGTGCTTCCACCGAGCCACTTCCCAAGCTCCGCCGCAATAAAGCCCCTGTTGCGCAAAGCAGAAGGGTGGTGCCTGGATGGTGCCTCGCCGTCAGCAGATGCCATGGCTGCTGCAGGAGAAGCACACGTCGGTTTGGTTTCGTCAAACGGAGGCGGGCGCAAGAAACCGCTAGCCCGCGAACATATACACCCAGCAGTGATGGCACCTCTGAGACCGAGCCTCATTCGACGGTCACTACGTTAGAGGGCCCCCCTGTTGTGTGGAACGTGGAGCGTGGAGCGTGGAAAGGTGTGTACTGCTGCTGTGTACTGCTTACAACCTGCAGGCGGGGCATTTCGGTGGGGGGTTGTGCCGCTAGCCCGAGCCTGTCGGCTTTGACCAACAGGATGCCACGATCATCCGCAGCGACGCAAGGAAAAAAAAATGCAAATCGTTTCTACGCCTCCTTCTCGCAATAAATTTCAAGGCAAGCTGCCGCAGAAGGAAGGCGGAGAATATTGCTCCTGTGTGGCCTTCCTTCCTCCTGTGTGACCGCGGCTGGTACGTCCAAAATTGTATTACACCGAAAGATGTGAGAGCACGCAAAAAAAAATCGGTACGACGAAACCGCCGGGACTGTGAGGTTCGATATCCGCGATCGCTTTTCGCGAGCGCGTCGCGAGAGAGTCGCAAGTCGCAAGAGAACGGCCCTCCTCTGCATAGGCGTGCGGCCGTACTCTCCACCTGCCTTGGTGCACATGAGCGCTTTGGTCCTCCTGTTGGCATGGGGGTTGGTGGTGGTATCCGTCTCGGCTGCATCGGTAGCCTGGCAGACCGATTCGATCCAGTTGTCGGTCGCTTCGACGTCCGACACATTCAGCCTTGCGCTGACAGCGTCCAGGTACACAATACTATTACCGAGTAGAGGTGGCAAGAGAAGAGGCACAATTGTTGAGAATTGCATCATCGTATCACCCCTTTTTTCTTTTCCCGGGGGCGGAAATGTTGGTAGTGTCGCACTATTGGGAGAAGGATACAACAGACCATCCCGTGATTCAGCCTTCACATGAAACACAACAACTAATTCTGACCCGCTCTCGTACCTCCTCGCTTTGGTACGCTTTCGCTTCAAAGAAAATAAATGAACTATTACCTAGTCACAAGACAACCGAAACCAACGTTTAAGGCAAAACAGACCCATAGGACGTGCGCCTACAAACTGCACATGATCACCTATTTTCAACGCACATGTCATGTCCCATGCCAGTCGAATAGGTATGCAAGAACCGCACCAACGTGAATGTGTTTTTCCTTGGCCAATTTTTATTGTCTACCCTCCCAGGTATGTCACTCCAGCTGATGAGGGTCACTTTAAACTCCGTATCACTCGAGATGGCGCGGGCTACAACACATCATGCCTCTCTTACGGAGCATCTGCAACGGCTGTAGCCGCAGCGTTAGACGCTTTGGACCCTATTGATGACTTGGGTGGATCGACTGTGATAAGAGAAGGAGACGGAGCTTCGCCAGAGTACAACTACGGGTTCGTCTATTACATCGTTGCTTCAAATTCAAGCGCGAACCTCGTCAATTTTGTGGACATGGACGTTGTCGGAAGCGGGGTGCAATACGGCTGTGCGAGATTGTCCACCTTAGGATATTGGGAAGACGAACTGAATTGGGACACCGGCGTGATACCGTCATCGACGGACGAGGTGGGTTGGGAAAGAACGAAACGTTAAGTGTTGCAACAATGTTCTTCCGGAAGGGGGAGTTCAACGCTGTCGAGAGAGGACATCATCGGGAATTGTTCTGTCTCGATCCAATATATATGTGTGTTCTATTTCCTATGATACCGTGAGCTACACCTTCCTATCTATCCCGATGAAGATCACAATACCCATGCGCACTGCCCCAAACCACTCAAGACAGGTAAACGTAGCCACGAACGCACATGATCTCCAGCGCTGCTCGATATTTTACGCAAACGATGCAGGTGACCATTCCCACGGACGCCGGTTTCGTGGTCCTCACCGCCGACACAGCCATCGATACCCTCAGAATCAACGGAGGGGCCCTGGTAACCCACGACAGCACCTGCTTGCCGGGGTGGACCCCCGCACCAGGCGGTACCTCTTCCTCCTTCGGCAGCAAGAAATGCTACCGCTTCTTCGACCGCGCTTCCTCGTGGCCGGCAGCGCAGAGCGCGTGCGCGAGAGCGGTGTCGCAGCTTCAGGCCGGACTCTCTCGGGGTGGCGCTCTTCGTGGAGCCCTCGTGACGGTGCAGGGGCTAGGGGAGAACAACTGGGTCGCAAGGATGTGCAGAGGGGATTCTCAAGAGCGCGACTGTTGGGTGGGCATGACCAGGAGTTATCGTGGGGCGGGAAGGATTGAAACGGGGGATGACCTAGAGTGGGCAGAACTCGAGAATGTCGCGGGTGAGTTGCGGTACCGTTCGTGGGCCACGCGGGAACCTTCCGACTTCGAAAACGACGAGGTGCGTATTGTTGTTGTCACAAAAACCATGACGTCATTCTGATCTTGGTTGGACTGCCGGCACCCAAAAACAAGTCACACCAACAAGCCTTCCGTACTGCAAACAGTCGGGCTGTAAACTTGGTCAACTTGCTGAAGTTTGCAGTCCAAAGGAGTCCATTCATCCCGAAGCTTTTCCTTTGGCTATTTTCGTAGGCAACTTTGCCTACTATCGCAAGCCGCCTTCGACTTTTGTGGCCAGGCGGGCGAGAACTGCGTAGCAATCCAGGGCTCGAGGAAGCGAGCTGCGGACCAGGGCGAAGCGCGCTGGTACGACGATGGATGCGAAGCAGAGAAGCCCTTCGTCTGCCAAGCATTCGGAATCAGCACCCCCTTCTCGCTCTCGGTGTCGACCGAACTCGAGATGGCCGGCGGGTACATCGTCGGCGCCGGAACGGTGACCAGCTCAACTCTCGCAAAGGTGGGCTGTAGTAGATTAAAGCTTCCGCGAGCGTCCAGACTTGTGGACGTGTTGGGTATCCACCTCGGGGAGCGAGACAGAGCCGTCGAGAGCACACCTGGTGTCTTGCAACGCCTGTTTTTCTCTATCTTATGACTTTTCTTGTCTCTCTATTCATACAAGACACCGCTCATACCATCCCCCCCTCCCGGGAAGTACAGCGGAACTCCGGATTTCCGCCGCGTTTACTTACTTGGATTTGCTAAACGGCTTGTGGTTCAGTAGGTATCCGGGGACAACGGCGAGGTCGGGATTCTTAACGGTGCGACCCTCCTAAATTCCGGTTCGATGGACTGGTCGGCAGCGGAGGCTTGCGGATGGGGTGGATCCTTGCACAACACGGGCACGTTGACGTTCAGTGGCGCCATTTTGCTGGAAGCGGCCGAAGATGGAGAGGGGTTTCTTTCGGACAATGCGGGAGCGTGGCCAGCAGTAGTCAATGACGAGGGCGCGGAGGTGGTTTTTGAGGCTGGTTCGGAGGTAGATCTCGAGTGGCTGCTCTGGAACGAAGGCGGGAGCGTGCTGGTGAGGGTTCCGTACAATCATTGCTTTACCAAGGCAGGATTCCTTATGAAAGTTCGACAAAATGCATTGGCAAGATTGAAGTACGGTACGGCGTCGTTGTACATGGACCGTGTTTTTTGGAATAACGCTCTTGAGGTGCGAAGTAACCAGGAGGACCAAGCAGGCACGCAGATAGGGTATTGCTGAAAGCGAAACATGAAGCTTGTCGATTCATAATCGTATGTTGACCATGGGGGGGGTGTACTCATAGTCGTGCATGCCGTAGTCGTTAGACCATTGACCTCGCATCCCTACAAAGCCGGCACGGAGCACGCCGGGTTCTCATCGGACCAGGCTCTCACATCACCAAGCGCGAAGCACCGTGAGGTATTCGGCGAGTCGAATGAAGCGTACGCTGCATCCTTTTAAGGGTGTTCGGCCTCTTGTGCTTACTTCCTTGACTGAATATATTTTCTGGTGTTTTCACTCCCAGAGACAGTTATAAGCACTGGCAACTGCCTCGAGGGTGCTTGACCAATTTAACACAACGAGGTGCGATCATCCCCCTTGCGCGGAGCGAGAGTTCTCGACCCCGCACAACATAATCTACTCGACCACCATTTACGGTTACCGCACGAACAACAAACAGAGGCAAAAAAACGGTAACCTGGTTGCCGAGCTCACGAAGTGATCGGCTTGTTTTACAACGTCATTGCCAGCGACGAAAATCCAACCCCGATGGCAAACACCGAGGATGTCGACCATGGGGGGGGGAATGCACGCATTTATCTATTTCTATCCGATCCGATCCCTTTGTAGGTGGAAGGAGAGCTAGATTCCACGGGGGGTGGATACAGTTCGAGCGGGACTTGGACGGTGGAGGTGGGGGGAGAAGCTAGGTTCTCGGACAGCTCGCTCATCATGCATCAATCTGAGGTTGTCGTGGTAACGCTACAAGCGGACAGAGAGGTAAGCTGCCAGGAACATTACGTTCAGGTAGTATGGGCCCTCATGTTCTATAGTAGCTCTAAGGTTGTACGGTCGTTCAAGCTGGCATAGAAGAGGCCTAAAAGGTGAGTGCAAAGAACCACTAGAGCTTCCGACGCAGCGCTTGTTTCCCAGCTCTCACTCTTCCAGCCGGACGAAGCTGTCATTCCGAGAAAAGGTGCAGATTGCACTTCACACTTTGCATAATTCAAGTTTGCGGAAACTTTGCACACGCCTTGAGGTTTGCCCGTTTTAAAGACACCGTACGTTGTTCATACTCTGTGCCCTCTGCCTGCGTTTCCGAAAAGGTTACGGGGCAAGACGTCGAAACCTTCGCCGGGAGGGCAGGCTACTACCGACTAGCGTTCGGGGGCGAGGAGACTAGCTGCATCGGGTACCACGCCTCAGAAGAGACCGTCGAGGCAAGCACAGTAGGGGGTGGGGGTTGGGGGAGGGGTAGCATATTGAGCGTCACTGGAACGTCGTGATGCCTACACACGGTGGTGCCCTGCAGCGGCCTACTTGCATCGAGGGTGGAAACTGGGTTTGACAACGGGCCCTTCCTTCGTGTTGTTGTTCCCTAAGGCCCATGATAGTCCTCGGACATTGCAAAACATCCTCAATAGCAAGACTTACAAAGTGCTGCAGATAACATGCAGGGACTCTGGGGGGTCTCAACGTCTCAACCCTCGGCAATCCCACACGCCACCCCCCCACCCCCACACGTACTGGAGCAGGAGGCTCTGGAAGAAATGTCTTCGATCGACGAGGAGGGTGGTGTCACCGTACGGAGGGACGGGAACGGAAAGTTGAAGCGATGGCAGTACGGCTACAGGTGCACCATGCGCGGACGGAGGTTGAACTTTGTATTCCGCTCACAACTGTTCGGACTGTTCTGCTTTGCGCAACCCACGAGGAACTTCCCCCATCACCAAGAGATGTTATTCAAGGACGCTATGTGTACGACACCCGCCCTTGAAATCGACCCCAATGTACGGCGGTTGTATTCGCACACGACAACTGCAACGCAACCGAAACGCTACCTGTGGTGATGGTCTGTCGTCCTCTGCGGCAAACACCTTGCAACGTAAACAGGTACGTGGTTACGTTTGACGGTACTCGAGCTCTCTCCGGGGGCAGCAACACCCTCGCCCTTTCCTGCGCCGGAAGCGCCGACGATTGCGGCTGCGTCGACATCTCGGGAGCCATCGAGGGGACCGGCAGCAGCCGCGTCGGATGCGGCGCCGCGATATTCGACAGCAGCGACGACGGTGCCTCTACGAGCGCCGAGTTCGATAGCTCCACGTGCCGGGTGCAGGGGACGGTGGAGCTCGAGACGCTGAAAGAGGGGGGCGAGACGGTTATTTCCGGGGGCGGGGTGCTCGTGTTTGCCAACGGGGGGCAGTACTTTTTGCCCTCGGCGGTGACGGCGGATGTTGAGGTGATGTCCGGGGCGGAGGTGGTGTGTCCCAATTCGGCGGCGGAGCTTGTCGGAGCGGTGAACGTCAGCTCCGGCGGTGTGCTCTGGTTTGCAGGTACGGGTGTGCACAGTAAATATTGGAGGTCTTGTGCGACCGAAGGGCGCAGTTGGTGATAATGCCGCGTTGTGCTTGGTATATATAAGCCAATTTGTTTTGCGATGCACGTCATCGATATGTACCGAGCGGACCGAATACATCGCGGTTCCGCCAACACCCTCCTTTCATACGCCTCGCCGATTGAAACCTGACCGTCACCTCACTCCTGAGTCGGAAAACATGTACTCAATATATAACTATATCCACAACTTTTCCCGAGCTTCAAAGGTGCTTGCCACGTCCTTGCAACATGTGATCCCCGTTGTCTGCAGGAGCCGACTGGGAAGCCCTCGATGCCGTCAGCCTGCTCCACTCCGACCCTGACACCCCAGGGCGGTCGGGATCCGCGGTAGCGTCGCCGCCGGGATTCAACGCCACCATCGACGGCGACGTCAACGTCCAAGGCCACGGGGAGGTCCGCCTGGCGGCGGCAACGGCGGCGGCAACGGTGGTGGTTCTCGGGTCGCTTACGCTTGCCGGCGGCGGTCTGTCTGGCAGGGGTCGCATCTCCGTAGAGGGCTCCACGCTCGTCGTGGCATCTGCTGGTGACGAAGAGGAGGATGCGTCGTCTCTCAGGAACGGGCTGACGCTTGATATGTACGGAGGCGGGGAGTGGAGCGGGGGAGGGTTGGAGGCGAGGGATGGTGTGACGGTGGTGAATCGAGGCCTGTTGAAGGCCTCGGCCGCAGGCGGGATTTGGTTCGGGCATGGTAAGGAGCCAGAACGTTTCGTCTACCTCCGACCCCCAGTGCGTGGTGTAGATTAACCTCTAGACCACGGTGATTGATTGAACATCGACCGTTGTCATGTCTTGGGAGGTTGTGGCAACAAGAAGTTTTTCAATGCGCCTTCGGGAAAAAGCCTCAACACACTTGACTACAGCGCCTCGCCTAGTAAAAAGTATTTTGCTTCCAGCCCACGTCCACGACATCACGTCTCGTGTCTTTCGATCCAACTTCGAATGCCAACATTGACGCATCTTGATCCTGAGGTGGGGACTTCGGTGCACGAGCACCCCTCGACTTCGACGGCGAACAATGGTACGAGAACCCTGTGTGTGGTGATGGCTGCACGGAGGAGCCCTCGTGGGAGAATCGGGATGGGGGGGAGATCCTTGGCGTGGAAGGCAGTAATGTTGTCCTTGGTTTCGTCCTGCATAATGAGGTGGGTGAAAGCACGAGACGTGCCAATTGTCCGAAAACCAACACCCCTTCAGAGAAGAAAAACACGTGGTTCTCGAACGAATAAGGAGCATGTAGTTCCTCTTCAATGTGATGGATTGTGTAGCCGTCCACTCTTGGTTTTTGCCATCTTGTCACGGTAGCATGAACGGACGCTAAATACTGAGATTCATTCCATTTCACGATGGTTTGAGGAGGGCTAGGGTATACCCCAGGGTGTACCTGAATCATTGGCGGAGCCCCTCTAGAGCTCTGTCCTAACTCGTGTTTTGGGTGATCGCTCACTGTTAACACGGCCAACCTCGGAAAAGGAACTTTGACCCACGCTGACAAGCAACCCTCTGTGAGTCGAAGCAGTACAAGGGTAGACCCCCCTTGATTCGTCCCTCCTGGAGGATTAGCCCCCCTTGCTAGTCTCCCCTGGACTGAAATGGTAAGATACCATGAAACTGACCATGAAATGGACGAAGCTGACCATGAAATGGATGAAACTAACCATGAAATGGACGGAACTAATTGAACCCTAGCCAGTGCTTGTTACGCTACCACATGAGTGAACTACCCTGAGCGATAGCGTTACAACTACTGTGACATGGTGGAGGAGTAGGGATAACTTTAGTTTTGTTTACAAGCCGGGGCGTTTACTTTTCGCTCAGTTGTTGCTTGATTCAACTGAAGATCGCTTTAGGAAGAGGTGGGATTCGCTCACAATCATGTTGATTTCAATCGCTTACCACAGCGGATGCATAAAATAAACCGACGTAGTTTTCGATGAAATGTGTCCCTCATCAGGGTATCTTACACGCTGGTGAGTTTGAACTCTGTGCAGGTATCCCTTCCCGTGGGGGGGGGATTATGATCAGTTTCAACAATATCACAGCGGACAAACGAATCTCACATCCGATGCATGACAAATCTTTTTCTGACTCTCGGTCTAAAAATAAGATGATTGATTTTTTTTTAGAGCTGGTGGCCCACCCAGGGTGTACGTCAGNTTAAACCGACCTAGTTTTCGATGAAATGTGTCCCTCATCAGGGTATCTTAGACGCTGGTGAGTTTGAACTCTGTGCAGGTATCCCTTCCCGTGGGGGGGGGATTATGATCAGTTTCAACAATAACACAGCGGACAAACGAATCTCACATCCGATGCATGACAAATCTTTTTTTGACTCTCGGTCTAAAAATAAGATGATTGATTTTTTTAGAGCTGGTGGCCCACCCTTGATTTCAGTGTAAAAGACAGGGTGTACGTCAGAAAATTGTCGTGTTGAACTTTGCTACGCTTTTAGGGTGCTTAAGTCCTGCGGACAACACGAGACACCTATGTCACATGCACTCACCACAGTTGCCGTTGGTTACCCCGGAAGGGGGGAGGTCTAGTGGTCAATAGGCATGCTGCGGGGGACCACACCATATGAGATGTTTTCATGTGTGCTGCTGGGAACCACACCAGATGACATGCACTGCTGTACACGTACTCTGCACAAATAGGCTAATGCGCCGCATATCGAGTGTCGGACACAAAGTTTCCCAGGACCATCGCACCGTACACACATGCTCTTCACCTGGTACAACGGGCATAGGCTTTCATCCATCCATATGGCTGCGAGTTCCAGTAGGCAGTCTGCTCTATACCCTTGCGGTTGTGCTAGTTGGCTGTCATCACCTCTTGATTGATGCTCTACCACAGCGGTTCGTAGATTTGGTATGCTAGATCTACGCATTTTACTCCGCCCTTTTCCGCTGTCTTTGCAGACATACCGAGCACTTCTACCACGGATGATGTACGCTGCAGCAGCAGTTTTCTTTTTAAGGGCCTAACCCCGTCTTTGGTATGTGACACCCGCAATCTTTGAAATGCCTGACCCACCATTCCAGACTATCTTTTGTAGACTGTGTGGTTGCTGTACAACAACAGCAGTCTTTGAAATGCATAACGAGATTGTCTTTGGTATGTGGGTAAATCACTCTTTGAAATGTCTAACCCACAATTTCAGACTATCTGTTGTATGCTGTGTATAACAACAGCAGTCTTTGAAATGTCTAACCCACAATTCCAGACTATATTTTGTATGTGGCTACTGTACAACAACAGCAGTCTTTGAAATGTCTAACCCACAATTCCAGACTATATTTTGTATGTGGCTACTGTACAACAACAGCAGTCTTTGAAATGCATAGGCTATCGTTCGTATCTGGCGATTAGAGCTATGTTACATTTGGCGTACTGCTGATCATGTACCCTTAATTATGCAAAAGCAGTATTGACGCGACGCGGTTGATTCCGTCTCTACATCAAGCAAGGCAGGAGATCATGCTACAGCAGCACATGCTGCGCTGTGTACTGCGGTAACAGGTTCGAAAATCGTTCAACCATACATGGGGAATCATATGCTAACACACAACGTCGAGAGATGGACCGATCGTAATAGTGGCAGGATAACTATACAGATCAATTCCAAGGTGCTTGTTGTGTAAAGTGTATGTAATAGAGGAAGAGAGATACTGTGTAGTCTAGTGGTAAAGATACCTCACGTACTGCAACGCTACGCTTACAATTATTTGTTGTATCTTTCTACCACGAGACGGCTGTCTGTGGCATATCTTCCCCATAAATCGGCATGAACTAATCTGGTCGCATCTATACCATGGACGTGGCAATCAGTTCTGATCGCTGCGGCCCAGAGTTGATTTGGTAATGTGATATACACCCATCGGAAGACATGTATTCCAGGAACTCTTTGGAAACTATGACACCAATACCCGCACAAGGGATGGATTAATCGTGATTGCAGCACATTACAGTGTCATGTAGTATAATGCTGACAAGTCGACCACTGTTGTACGCTGGTGGGCACTAAGACACCAAAATAAAGGTGTTGCCACACGGAGTTCAGCAATAATAGTACGAGTAGTAACCTCTCACAGTCAACTGTTGTTTTTAGGAGAATATTGAATTGATACGTCTAACTAGTACTGTGTCGTTACACTGGGTGCTGCTCCACGATCTTTCATGACTTGTCTCGGACACAGGTGGCATAATTTCCACAAATGCGGTATCGTTAACCGTGCCTTCTGATTCTATCTCGACACCTTTTCGTAATTACTAGGAGCTCGGGGGAGCATATTCTGCCAACATCCGAACAGGGGATGGATCCATCGTGATGACGCACACAAGTGTGTTGTGTAGCTAATTATATAATTTAACTGTTATCACCCAGGAGGACATTAATACTAATACGTTTAACTATTACTACTACTATGTCGTCACACTGGGTGCTACATCACGATCCTCCATGACTTGCTTCGGACACGGGTGGCATATTCTCATTTCGACACCTTGTCGTTACCATATTCCCTTACCGGTTATTTATTTTGTGTCAGGTGCAAAACATAGATTCCATCACCGACACGTCTTACACCCGCACCATGACCGTCAAAGGCAGGGTGATCCGGAAACATTATGAAGGAAAACAGCAAAAAGAAACCACAACATTTACCGTCACGTTCGACAACAAACCACTCCAACCGAAGCTGTTTACATCTTCTGCTGGGGGAGGGAGTACAGAGAATACGGATGATGATGATGATGACCGACGGATTTTGTTGTCTGCTCTTAGGGGAGGACGAAAATACTTTACGACCCGTAAGGCAGACGTTGCTATTGAAGGCCCGGTAGCTCCCACGAGGTCACGGAAGTACGAGTATAGTGATCCCAGGGACAGGCAACCCCGGAAGAAACAAAGGAAATGCTCGGTGTCGTGGGCCTCGCACGCCTATCAAGTATACTTCGATGAGAGGGATGCAGCCCGTGTGGTTGGGGATACCCTGCGTGGCCGTTGAACGCAGCAACTATGGATAATACTAGGTCAGGGAGGATTACCTCCTCAGCCAACCCAACAGCAGGGTGGAGCGCCTCCTCTATCGCAGGGAGGACCGCCTCCTCCGCCGCCGGGAGGATTACCTCCTCAGTAACCTCAACTGCAGGGAGGACAGCCGCCTCTACCATCTGGAGGACCGCCTCAACTGCAGGGAGGACAGCCGCCTCTACCATCTGGAGGACCGCCTCAACAGCAAGGAGGACAACCTGGAGGACAGCTCCCTCTACAGCATGGGGAGCCTTATCACCAAAACGATGGAGGACAACAGCCACTTCTGCCGACGCCTCCGCAGCAAGGAGGACCATCAACTCCGCATGGTGGCTTTACAACGAACTACGCACAAACAGGAGGATTTCTTCCACACCAGGGAGACCTCCATCAAACTCCGGCCTTCCAGGGGCAGTCTCCGTACCATGTCACCGGAGGAAGTCCCTACATGGCGTATCACGGGGGAGGCTTCCAGACACAGGGAGAGGCTCACTATCAGCCGCAGCCAGTTCCCTATCATGGTGGGGTGGGACAGCCGTATTCTGGCTTCTCATTTCTGCCCCAAAGAGGAGGAGGAGCTGGGGGATTCGCGACTCGCGGGTACAACGGAGGATACTATGGACCATCATCCTCTTCCTCGGTCTATGCGGTCAACATGGCGGATCCTAAACAGCGTCGTCAGGTGTGGGAAGGTATCAAGAAACGTATCGTTCAGCGGACGGGAGAAGGGGGTTTCGAGGGACCCCCGTTGCAGACCAACACGAAGGACACACCCATTTTGAAGGCTCAACATGATCCGTTGGTCTTTCAAGATGTAGTAACGAAAGCGTACGCGATGGAGTCAGGGGCGGTAGCTAAATTTCCGCCTGATAGAATGGCTACTCACCCAGCTTCGGGGCATCAAGTCGTCCACCCGAACCCCGATGATCTCACTCCGTCACGAGTGGAAATTCTCCTTGGGTTGCTACCACAGGAGATGGCGGTTGTCACAGAGTATCATGCATCGAGTGGCCAAGAAATGCTCGTCCATGATGTGAGGGGTGGAAAACGATATGTGCCGCAACACGAGGTCACGGCACTAGATCTTCTGAGGCTCATGACGGAAGAAGAAGCACGGAAACATGCTACACGCAGTGCAGCAGTAGCAGCATTCAACGGTATAGTGGTGGGACTCAAGGAGTCGTGGTTGGCAGCACAAGTAAGGATGGTGCAGTACTTTAGAGCCTCAAACCTGGACCCGGAGGCTCCGTACGCAACCGAAGAAGGTTACTTCTGGCAACTGCTCTCTATGCGTGACCTTCAAATCTTGGAGGAGAAAGCGTTGCAGTTGTGCTTTCCGCAATGGGGCGACAGGATGCCACGAGAGGCTCAATTGCTCACGATCAGAGAAGGCTACCGACAACAGTTGGACAACATGCCAGTCGTCCGACATGAGCTAGGGTCGCCGTACATGGCCAGGAGGGGAGCACTCACCAAGGAGATATTCACGAAGTTCTCCAACACCTTAGCCCACGACGCAGGCCGTTACAAAACGCCGACGTCTCAGTCATCGGCTAGGATGAATGCATTAGTTTCCAATAAACTGCCGTTGCAAACGCGTCAATACCCGGCAACGTGGAATGCAGAGGAGATGAATGCATTAGTTTCCAATAAACTGCCGTTGCAAACGCGTCAATACCCGGCAACGTGGAATGCAGAGGCGACTCAGTCGGCCTTATGCATGATGGAGGAGCCTCAGGCTAAGTGTACCAGGCCTCAGGAGGAGCACATCAACGCCATGGAAGATCATTCAGGGGGATTATCTCGAGGTAATCAGGGAGGCTACAAAAGAGCGGGAGATGGACAGGAGACCCAACAGACATTCAAACGCCGCGAGGAACAACCTGACAGATCGACTCAACGTCAGGAGACTCGCACTTTCTCTCAGGGAGTAACACAAGACAGTAGGAACAATGGAAAACGGAGAGAACGACGGACATTCCAGAGGACGCTTCCAGAGGATGCGCCCAAGCCTGAGGACTCCGCAGAGAACATAAAAAAATACATCATGCGATCAAAGACCTGCTTCTTCCATGCCAGAGGAGCGTCTTGTCCTCAAATGGCCGAACACTTCTTTTGCAACTATAGTCATGAAAAAGTGCCATTTGGAATCTACCCCTACAAGGAGAGGGTCTCAGCGAAGGTAAATCTCGCTATGATCACGCTGGAACAATGCTCACGTGAGGACGAAGAGACAAGGGATGAGGAGCGAGAGGAACAGCCAGAGGTGATGGACTTTGAGGAAGTCGAGGGAGAACAGGAGCACAGGACGAAATGCCGACAATATCGTACAGATTTTTGTGTCGTCTCCTGTACAGATCCTGGTAATGGAGAACCCGGTGGGCTTCGCGGGGTCTGAGAGATGGAAGAACACGCTTCAACCAGAATTGCACTTAGCGGGGTGTGAAACGGCAACCGCGTCGTTGTCAGCGACGGCAGTAGGGATACCCACAACAAAACGAAGAGTGTTTGTGGTGGCTGTCAAAAAGAGCGGTGACCCTAAATTGACAACGAAACTCTCTCAGTGGAAGAAACATGTAGAGAGAACAGCGCCATCGACACCAACGGTCGGCGCCTTTTTGGGAAGGCAGGGATGCTTCTTCTTGAAACGAGGACGTCATAATAAAGAGATATTCTCGTTTGAGGAACCGGTGGTGACGATTACAAGGGAACACATCATGGGCCGTAAACCTCTCTCAACAGCTTTTACGACACACCCCAAGGACGCCGGATCATGGCAGGATGCGCAAGAGCTATCGTGGGAAGATTATGTCAAGCTAACCATCAACCAAGACAACTATGAGGTGCCACCGACGCTAAGACGATGTGATGTAGCTCGAGTGATGCAAGAAAACACCTTAGCGCCGATGCTGCGGGAAGTCCTGAATCTCTTACAATTGAAAGGACGGCTAAAGCGTCAGATGGATGGAAAGAGAGAAAGGATCGGTTCTCCCAAAAATGTCGACGAACAATTAGTCATCGACTTAGCCAGCTTGTATCAGGAAGAGGCGACGGTGACAGCGGTGACTCGAGAAGGTGTAGTCGACCGTCGCAGCGACCGCACACGTTTTAAGGTGACTCGGGCGGAGACTAGGAGTGCGGCTAGACGTGCTCGACAGCCTACACTCAACCCATCTACAATCAGGCAGCCGACCACTTCTTCGGAGAAGGAGACGGCGAGGCAAACACCAGAGGGACGACCAGCGGCGGTTGAGCGTTCCACCACACCACCGGTGTCTCCACAAACAAGATCGCAGCCACGGCTAGCACGACCAGACACCGACGTTCCACTCTGCAGAGGGCATTCCGAGCAGCTGGAACGCATGGAGCGTATTTTGCGAGATGGTGCACAACTGAAGAGGGCCCAGCAGGAAGACTTGAGGTTGAAACCCATCAGGGCAGCTCTAGAGAAAGGTGAAGGAGAGAAGGATGACTACATCTTGGATGATCAAGGTCTACTCTGGTTTGTACAGAGAGGGGCGGCACATGTGATAGCCCTACCTCGTACGCTGGTGTCTGCAGCTTTGGCTTTGGCACATGGTACCTTTGGACATCCGGGGATAGCTCGTACTACTATCATTGTGGCGGACAAGTACCATTGGCCGTCACTGAAGAAAGATGTACGAGACTACGTATTGTCATGTCGATGCCGGATGAGGAAAAGACAGTGGAGCAAACAAATTCACATGTTACCGGCACGTTTCTTGCGTCCATGGGAAGTTTTGGAGATGGACATTCTCGACATGAAGTTAACGTCGAACAAAGGCAACAGATACTTACTGGTGATTGTGGATCGGGCAACCAAGTTTCTCTTTGCCTTCCCACTTCCTACGAAGGAAACTATGGGGGTCAGCAAGAAATTGTTGGAGCTCATTCTTACGTTCGGACTACCAATGTCCGTACGTTGTGACCCGGGGGCGGAAAACACATCGGCTATCATGGAACACCTGTGCCGTTGGCTCAAAATATCTCTCGATTTTGGACCGACTAACCACCCCAGAGGACAGGGAACAGTCGAGAGGATGGGAGCGGTACTACAAGAGATGCTGTCGGAGCTCTGCCAGGCATGGCCGAACAGGTGGGATGAGTATGTGGCAGTGGTAGCTTGGGCCCATCGTACGACACCGGATGAGAGTCTTCCCAATAAAGAGTCAGCATATCAACTGCTTTTTGGGCGGGCGCCAAGGACATCATTTGACCACATGTCACCATCACTGGACAACTCGGGGCCGGCGTTGCCGTTGGAAAGGACGGTGGAGGAAACGAGAAGGAAAACTATGGAAGTGATGCAAGTGCTCAAGGTGAGACAGGAAAACAGGAATAAACACCGGGAAATCCAGAATGCGAAGATCCAACGTACATCGCCAGGCACCAAAGCGAAGGTGGGAGACAAGGTATTGGTCAAGGAGAGCGCCAGTACACTTTACAGAGATGGAGTTCATCCTAAGCTTGCTCATGACCACTTTACAGGACCATGGAAGGTCGTGAATGTGGTGCGGACAGGGTTGAGCTTCACCGTACGACTGCATGGGCGTCAAATCCGACAGAGGACGGTAGCTGCCACGGACTTCAAGCCGTTTCACGTTCGACCACAAAATATCCGACATCCATTCGAAGATGAATTTGGTCACTTTGTATGGTCGCCGGATCTAGGATTAGCTGAAGACTCAGTAGTCGCGGCACCTCTCTACACATTGGTGAATAGAAGGGTGGTCCAAGGAGCGGGAGGAACAGCGTCCGCATGGGCGTGGGAGTATCAAGGGAAGTACCAAGATGGCACCACTTCTCCGTGGATCACAGAAGACACTGTTCGGGACAGTTTTTCGCCTTTGCAACTTGATGTTTTCCATGCCCTGTGGGAAGACTATCACGGGGAGGATATCGCACCCAGACCTCCGGGACCACCGTCGAGAGGAGAGCGTGAAGTGGCAACGAGGGCCGAAGCTCTCGCGGAATATCCTTGTGGAACCATGGTGGGACGGGAGCTCATGGATCAAGAAGGCAACATCGTACTCAGCAAAGGAAGGGTCTGCGACTTCTATGACCCGTATTGGAGAGTAGAGTTCAGCGATGGAGATTGGGAAGAGCTCAACCGCAGGGAGCTCAAGCGTGGAATGGACCTGGCTACCAGACTTCCGCCGCTGATGGCTCAAGAATCGTGAAGTTGTACACTGCCAGCCATCTTCCCTTTTCCATGCGGGAAGCTGGGGGGGGTGTTGCGGCAGTGTTATGAATGAGGAATTCCAACACGGTATGCGGCAGTTGAAGATCGTCCTCAACAGTCGAAGTCGTTGGTCAAGATGCAAGACCGCCGTGGACTGAGGAAGAGATCGGTAGTTTTGTGAAGACTGCCGTGGAGGAACGTTTTCAAGGAGGAAGATCATCTTCGCCTGTGGAAGACCGTCTTCTTCAACTCAAGATCGTCGTCATCAGGGAGCCCGGTGTAAGGCGGCCAAAGTACTATTGGCCGTCCTTCGTGGTCGATGATTTCAGCAATGAGACAGCGACATCGACTACCCCGGCATCCGTTCTCTCTAAGTTAAACCCATTTTTGTGGTTTAATCTGGGGAGGGCGGCACCCTTCCTTCTCAGATCTATATTCCCGGCGTGGTATGATCTGAGGAGGGAGAAAAGCGCCTTCATGCTACCTCCTTAGCATTTTTGTGTTTTTCAACACATACATGCTGGGGGGGTGTCACGGTAGCATGAACGGACGCTAAATACTGAGATTCATTCCATTTCACGATGGTTTGAGGAGGGCTAGGGTATACCCCAGGGTGTACCTGAATCATTGGCGGAGCCCCTCTAGAGCTCTGTCCTAACTCGTGTTTTGGGTGATCGCTCACTGTTAACACGGCCAACCTCGGAAAAGGAACTTTGACCCACGCTGACAAGCAACCCTCTGTGAGTCGAAGCAGTACAAGGGTAGACCCCCCTTGATTCGTCCCTCCTGGATTAGCCCCCCTTGCTAGTCTCCCCTGGACTGAAATGGTAAGATACCATGAAACTGACCATGAAATGGACGAAGCTGACCATGAAATGGATGAAACTAACCATGAAATGGACGGAACTAATTGAACCCTAGCCAGTGCTTGTTACGCTACCACATGAGTGAACTACCCTGAGCGATAGCGTTACAACTACTGTGACAATCTTGGGGGAGGCGAAAATGCCAGCATTTTGGTCTTGCCGGTTTTGCCGGAAATGATAATTATTTGCTTCAACAATAATAGTGAAAATCCTTCTGAAAGAAACAGGTATCTTTTGTAGACATGGAGACGGATGCGAGATGCTAACCTTGTACAATTTCAAGTTTGGCCGTCGAGATCCTCACGCTTTGCTCCTCCGGCAGTTCAAACCTTCACAAGATTGGTAGAAGCGATTAAAGTGTGTTGGTCAACACAAATCCGCCGCAATTATAGGCAAAGCAGTCATTTTTATGCCCCCAAGAATTGAAACTTGCGTCGTTCTTGGTGTGTTGCTTGTTCATTTGTTCATTTGTTCATCCTTCGCAAAAACTGATCCTCTCGTGGATAGGGCACCGTGCGAGTGGAGGACCACGGCCGCCTGGAATGGTGCGGCGAGGGGCAAGGAGGAGGGAACGGCACGGTAGACTTGCCGGGCATGAACAGCACCCTCGTCTTCAGGTGATGTTTGTCACCGTGCATTATTTCGCGCTATTCACACCTCTCAGGACCACGAGATGACAATGGCTTACTAGTCTAATACCTCTGGTCGTTGCGTGTGATTCGGAGGGCACCAGAAGGAACGACTATTTCCTCGCGGAGCGAATGGGGTGCCGATAGTGCACTTTCAGATGGATGAGCTGGTTCACTCTAGCCACAAACGGACGCACCCCGTTCAACATGTCGAAAACAGGGTTAATGCACCATGTCATAAAATTATTGCCTCCCTATCCCCTCCGACGCCAACTCTCATCTCCAGCTTTACCCCTCCCTCCTTGACAACGCCTCGGGCCCCTTCGATGATCCCCCCATCGCACACCTCGGCGAAACCGCTATGGATCGACAGTGGCGGCGGCTTCGTCTTCGGCGGGAGTTCGAGCGTGACCGGCGAAGGCGTTCTGGAGTTCTCGGCGGGCACAGGGCATGAGTTGCCGAAGGGGGGGCAGGAAGTGTCCCCACTGGTGAAAGTGTCTGGTCACGGCGTGGTAACTTTCGCCGGGACTTATCTGCTGCTAGGGAGGGGTGTCACTGTTGCGGTGAGCCTCGGCGCTTGATGTATCCCTCGAGCACGCGATTCCCAGATTCCCAGGGGAAAAGAAACCCCGTGTGTTGCTTGCACGCGTTCACGACACACACCGACAACTTTCTGCAGAAGAACGTGGTGGGACGGTTGCCTCGTGGTATGGAAAGAATGGCTGAACGCCGGCTCGCGCCCTGCCTACCGCGGTTCAGAACCAGAATGCCGTCCAGAGCCCCACTGACGACTCTCTCCAGAAAACAACACCGACTGGTACATAAAAAAGTTGCCCACTGTTCACCAGATGAAACACCGAACTTCACTCAAAGGAAAGCATTGACAAAACCTCTGGAAGTCTATATGGGCTCAATGACCTTTCACAAGGTTCCTATATTGTTGTGGAGACAAAACAGTTTTCGACAGAGGTTTCCTTGACCTTCGAACGGCATATATAACTCACTCTCTGTTGTTTCCCTCCCCCACCACCACTCGAGTGGAATTAAGGCACGGTGTTTCAAGTGACACACGTCCCGGATAACTTTCTTCCTTATGGGGGTACCCTGAAAGAGGTGCTTCGCTCCACGGGATGACTGGAATAGTCTAGTCTCTTGTAGAGATGTAGTCTAGATGAACGACACAAAGTTCTCTAAGTGTCGACCTCATATATAACTTAGCAGCATTGATTGCTGCCATCACGCGCTCACCACCGCACTGAACCTGCCCACCAGGATAAGGGCGTCCTCGTGTTTTCATCCGCCACTTCGTCCACACTCATCTCCGGAGAAGCGACATTGATGGATGACGGTATAATCGTATTTCCACTTCCGAGCGTCCTCGCTTCTCTGGTAGATGCCGGGGGCGGCGGCGTGGACGCGGAAGCCCCGTGGGGTTCAGGGGAGGGGGACCAGGATGGGGGGGCGGGGTGGGGAGCGGCGTCTCGAAGCAGCGTCACGGTGGAAGGTACCTTTTTTTGGATGGGGGGTGCCATATCTGGCAAAGCGAGGGTGAGAGCACTGCGCAATAAAATGCTGTATCTTGAAAACATCAATTTTCCCACGTGCCGTAGGCAGCTCATTTGGAAAACATACCTTTCTGCTGGACTGTTGTTGCACGTGTTTTCGACAACGACTTCCCCACACCTTGGTCATCGTGTAATACCAGGTTGTCTGTGCCGGGGGATCGGAGTGGTCCGACGGAAACGGCGGCGGCGGTTCCACCGCCTTCCAAGCAACAACCAAGCACATCCTCAACTCTTTGCACCTCGTGAGCCGCGGCGACGTGGTTTGGTCCACCGGAGACGTCATCGTCTCCACCGGGGCCGCGTTCGTAAACCAAGGGACCCTCCTTCTCCTCGAAGAAACCGAGGACGGCGATGGGGACGACCTTCCCTCCAGAATACGTGCGTCTCAAAAGGGAGAGCGACCCGGTTGGAGGGATGCGTTTTCTTCTGGCACGTTGGAGGCAATGTTGAATGGTGGTGGTAGCGCGGACGCCGTTGCGACAGGAGGAGCAGGGTCGGCTGGGGGGGGAGCGGCCAATTGGGCCTGGGAAGAACTTAGCTACTATGATGCTTCTTCGTTTTAAGAAGCCTTTCGGCAACGAAAGAAATGCTCTGCTGCTGCACTACTTAGCCTTAAGGGCAACGATCATGCTGATATCTACGGCCCAACGAGTGTCGGTACTTCCCACTCTTGTGTGGGTGCCAAATTAGTAACACCATGCAATGCACTAACGGCAGCGCGCCAATTAATGACCCATGGCAGCAAGCGGTAAAGTTTGGATGCTTCGAGCTCTAGTTCAACCAAAAGACGCAAGATCACCCGAGGTGCAGAAAACGGCGTTTTTTTCGGAGAACACGTTAATCACACGCTTCTAACGCTGTCGACAATTCCCTTCCCCCAAGTCAACGAGGCAAGCTGCCATACTTTCATCCATCCGCTGCCTGCGTTTTTACAACCGTGACAAGTAAACGTGCAAAAATGTGTCTCTGGGCATCGCAGCACTAACGGAAACCGAGCGGGGATCGATCGCACCACACACTTCTTCCTCCCGACATCATCCCTTGCATAGATCGATACATAGGACGTGAGGTCACATCGGCAACAAGTGCTGCTGCAGCTGCAGCTGCTACTGCTGCACCAGTCTAGTCGATGACATACAGAGATAGCAACCACACGACCACGCATGCATATGTACGCAGCGAGAGCCCTTCCCACAGACAATTAACGATACTGCTATACAGTAGGAGGGAAACGGCGAGAGCACAATGGCAATACGCATGTACCAAGCGTTCTGCCACGTACTTTTGGCCACCACTTCCGTGTGTCGTGTGCCGTACTTTGCTAGGAACTAGCGGTGCACTCCATCAACTGAAACATGCCGCACGCCGATCTCTACCAACGCCACCATGGTCGAAGCATTGTTCACCAACCAACAAGCGTTCACAATAAATTACATGTTACACCGAGGAAACTCGGAAACGCCCCGTTCGCTGTCGCTGCACGATGCTCCTTCACGCAGCCATCTCGACGGGCTGCTGTGCCAGACGCAGAAATGCTCGGTTCCCCGTATGTGTAAGTCGAAACTGCCAAAGTGTGGACTCACGCCGCCAATGGCTTGGCGACGGGTTAGCCCTGCGGCCGAAGCGCTGCCTTAAGCTCGCCTGCCTGCTTCATCTCCTTCATGATGTCCAATCCCCCCACGAGCTCGCCGCCGCAGTACAGCTGGACAGGATTCCAGCCAACAACACCACACAATTGACGAGAGAGTCAACAACAGCAGCAACCTCTGGGTCACAGTAGCATCAGCGGCAGCTTAAATCGGGGCTGAATCCAAAGACAATGACGTACACTTGCGATCATGGTCTAGTATAGACATTGAACCACGGCCGTCGAGTGGCGCTAGACAAGCGCAGCTGCCGGCGCCAATCATCCGTCTGCAGTCTCAGCTCCGCTCGTCGACCGTGCCTCTCGTACCGCAGCATCACGCAGCAGCCATTGCGTCGGCGGAAAAGATTTTCTCGTGAAGCTCACAGAAAATGTCGGCCACTCAGAACCGTTCTTTGCACCCCTTGCGTACCTCGGCACTGTCCGAAAACGGGACGCAGATTCCGTCAACACGAAACAGCCCTCAAGTTCTACACCTCCTGCTGCGGTGGAACTTGTCCGGGACAACAAACTCTCCCTGAAGCGACTTGCCGTGTGCCATGTCAAGCGAGCACAACTCTCTCTCTCTCTCACCTGGGGATATGTCGGCCACTCCGACAGCTTCTTGAGCCCCTGCCGCACCTCGTCGTCCGCCAGGATGTCGAAGGTGCCGAACTCCACCCCTTCCTCTCTCAGGAGCCCCACCGCCGTCCTGCTGAATCCGCACTGTGGGCTATCGGGGTTGCCTTTCATGAAGAGCATGATCGGGCTAGAGGTCATCAGGCGCTTCAGCCGCGACTCCAGGTTCTCCTGCGACAGGGTCAGAAGTACCGATTAGGATACCGAGTCGTACGAAGCAGATAGGGCGTAGGACAAGACTATTTGAGGCGAGAGGTAAACCTTGAGATTCACGGGGCCGAAAGGAAAGCGGTTCCTAATCGGATGATGTAACATGCGGTGAGGTGGGGATGATACTGGCATAGGACGCAAGTATCATACCCAGTGTCTACTAGGCATAGCACTAATGGATATCGCCTGCTAAACACCGACGGTGGTGACAACTCCAACCCTTCCGATAACCTCGTGCGAACCTTCAACCTCTAGTACGAACTACCCGCGCCTATCGCAACGCACGGCACCGAGTATCTTCAGCTTAGCGCAGTACAACTTCGCATCTGAAGAAGCGAAGCACTGTTGCCAGCCACTTTTACAGAGACAACCGAGATGTAAATACCTTGGGTGTCACGCCAAGCTGCGGAGCGAGGGGCCCTTCGAGCTTCATCTCCTTCAAGATATCCAGGCCTCCCACCAACTCTCCGTGAACGTACAGCTGCAGAGTTGGGCGTAACAGAGACAAGTGATGCACCGCAGTAAAATCGGGCGGAGGCGATGAAACGCGAACAGTCCATTGCAGTTGCTCACACGAAGCGCCAAAAGGAGGGCGTCGACATCGACGGAAGAGCCAAATGGGCAAACAAGGCACCCGTGCATTTTCTTCAACAAGCCTACAAAGAGTACACCCGCATCCGAGCACTATTCTCTGATGGGAGGTGTGCATCGTCTCAGTCCCTCAGCTCAAACTACGGTCTGTTATGCACAGCCAAGCGTGCCGATACATGACCAGTGACAAATAGATGCTCATCACGTATGTACCGATGTTCGACCAGATAGCACTTGGTTAGCGGTGGTTGCCGTTGCCCTCGTGATGAAAGTGAACCCGTTCTAACCTGCGCGACCCCCAGTGCAATCCCTGACTTTCCGTACTTTGTGGTGCAAGCACGTTGCTCTAGGTCTTCTAGCACCACATTCATTCACAAGAGTTCAACACGTACCAAATGCAACAATGCAAGGGCGTGTTTAGCACAGTACGATACTGCCAGTATTTTCAGTATTGAAGTACCTTTGGCCATAATATACTATACTGCGCGTTTTAGTACAGCTCTCGATACTGGAATAAAAATACTGCACGCTTTAGTACAGCTTTCGATACTGGAATATACTGTACTGGCAGGACGGCGCTCGGTACTGTACTGTACTGCACGCTTTAGTACAGCTTTCAATACTGGAAAAAAAATACTGCACGCTTTAGTACAGCTTTCAATACTGGAAAAAAAATACTGCACGCTTTAGTACAGCTCTCGGTACTGGAATATACTGTACTGGCAGTACGGCGCTCGGTACTGTACTGTACTGCACGCTCTAGTACAGCTTTCGATACTGGAATATCCAGTACTACCCAGTACGGGCAGTACCCACTGCTGTACGGGCCGATCTACCCGGTATCTACCCGAAATCCAC